CAGTTCTATACAACATTTTGCTTTTGAAAACTCTGCCATCTTGTGAATGTGTGTATGCAGATGTGGAAGAGATAAGGGTAAAATGAATGAACTAGGAAATGAGTTAGTTAATTATAAAAGATAGACTCAACTACTAAATATAGACGTAAAATAAAAAGTCAAATGGAACTGATGTAGTTGAAATGACCTTATGTGAAAAAGAGAATTGAATTTAATCCCAAAGAGTGCTCAAGATTTGAACAGAGGGAGAAGGGCATGGTTAAGGGTAAGTAGAGAGCATCATGGAAGAGCATTTATGTGATAACCAGAACAAAGTGGTTATGGGTGGTGGACTGAATGGACCTCGTTTTTGACTGTAGTGGAACAGTTTTGCTGTATTGCAGTGAACACAAGATTATGGAGGGTTTTGGAAGTCATATAGAGAAGTCTGAATTTAGTTTTATAAACAATAAAAAGAATACACTGTAGGGGAAAAAGACATTTTGAAGGAGTATTTAGAACTTGAAATAGCTGAATACAAAAAATAAAAAATAGAAAGGGTTTAAGGATGTCCTAATTTTTTGTTATTCAACTTTGAAATAGAGTTATTCAGCCCTTCCCTTATTGTGAAATGGAAGTCTCCTGGGAAATGTCATAATATTATTCAGTGGTAGCCCAGCCCAAAGGTGATGTTACAGATACCTTCAGATATATTTGTGCCAGGTGTTTGCTTGCTTTTAGTATAATTGATTTGGAGTCAAGACTTCCTTTAAAGAAAAGCTTATTTATTATATCACTCTAAAGTAACAATTCTCAGGGTTTTGCAAAGTCAAAGCTATATTATAATAATTCTAGGGTATGATTTGTCTTTTTCTTTCTCAGTCTCTCACGAGGATACAAAAGAGTTTACCAGAGGTACATTCTGTGTGACAGAGACTGTATGCAAAAAAGATTCCCCATGTCTTCTATAACGCCAGACACTAAAGAGATTTGCAAAAGTGAAAAATGAAGTTATTCTTTCACACTGGGCTCCCTGTTGGAACACATAGCTATCTTTAATTTTAAAATGTCAATTATAATAGTGTAATATGCTTACTATTATTTTAAGATAAATTAGTATGTAACTAATTTTGAAATTTCCAAGTTTTACTTTCTAGTACAGTAAATTATAGTAAGGCAGTAAATAACCCAGGGAAACAAAAACTCCTGAGAGTTCTCAATAATTTTTAAGACAGTAGAGCGGGCAAGAGACCCAAAAGTTGGAGAATCTCTGCCCTAAGGTGAAACTCTTTAACAGTTTCTGCTCAAACTTTTCTTATTTCCTTGTTACTGACTGCCTTAGTGATGAGAAAGGACTTAAAACTCTTCTTGATAGCTTTTTATCAACTCTAATTGCCACGCTTGGATTTCTAAATAAAGAGGAATAATATTGCTTACCTGTACCAAATAGTTTTCTGGAAGAGGAAGTGATCTTGGAGGTTTGAGGTCGTTTTTATTTTCCTAAGACCGTGGAGACTGTAAAAGGTGGCAGCCTCTTCAGTAGTTGGAGTGGACAGCCAGCAATGCAGATGGCACGGGAGAGCAAAATTCCTTGCTGCAGATCTGCATCCAGCAGTCCTGGGAAGCAAAGGGCCAAGTACACTGGAAGGAATGAGGAAGAAGGTTCCGAAGGGGGAGGAGACTACCCCTGGCACGCCTTGGACCCGCCTTCAAATACTGGCTCTTTCCTAGGGCAATAGAACTCAAAATGTTATAAAACAGGGTATTTCTTTCAATATAAAATCACTGCCTAATGAAATAATTTCTTCTGTAAGAGCTGGTGTCCTTCCAAAACCTGTATCTCTTTCAGAAGTACATTGTGAAAGCATTTTAAGAAAGTTGCACTTGCTTAGTCCAAAGAAGCATCTTCTTTTCTCACATCAGTCTCTCAGTTTTGAGTATTTTTGATCACAAAACTTCTTTCTTGTCTAATAGTGTAGAAGAATCAGTTATACTGGAGTAATTCCTAAAATATAATCATACCACCTAAAATACCCCTGAAATGTAATGGAAATTTTTTTTGGATATAATATTTTGTGTAATATTGCTTCCTTCCTTCCTTTCTCTTTATGACCTAATCCAGGACTTCTCCCTCCCAAGCTCAACATGATGTCAAAGAATAATTGATAGAAGTCATTATGATTTGCTTCTTAAGAAAAGAAGGAGGAGGAGGAGGAGGAGTTGTTCTTCTGTATTTGAAAAATAAAATTGCAGCTGTGCATAATCCCAGCTACTGGGGAGGTTGAGGCAGGAGAGTCACAAGTTTGAGGCCAGCCTCAGCAACTTAGTGAGACCCCTGTCTCTAAATAAAAATAAAAAGGGGTGGGAATGTATATCTTGGTAGGGCATCCCTGGGTTCAATCCCCAGTACCATAAATAAATAAATACAATTAAAAATTAAAACATCTCCAATTTGAGATAACAAAAAGATTCACATCAATGGATAGAAGCAATACATTTTTATAAAACTTCTCTTTTATTTGCCATTTCAGATGCAAACCACAACACATACCACCATTAGGATTTTATTAATTTTATTATTTTGTGCAATAAGGGAAATTTGCTCTGACACAAGAAAAATATTTACTTGTAGTTCCTAGTGCTAAAACTTTCTATTTCTGGAATGGTGCCAAAATTCCTAATGAAAATATTTGAAATATGATTTAGGGAGATGTCTCTTAGGGATTATATTCAATTCTTTAAAAATGGTTTTCTACAACATAACTTCGAGGGGCTGGGGTTGTGGCTCAGAGGTAGAGCACTCGCTTAGCATGTGTGAGGTCCTGGGTTAGCTCCTCATGCACCACATGAAAATAAATAAAATAAAGGTATTGTGTCCAACTACAACTAAAAACAAAAACTTTGAAGAGCTGAGTACGAACATTACAACCTTGAAAATAACCCAAACAAAAATGTTTTGTGGGGGACTGAGGATTGCACCTGGGATTCTTTATCACTGAGCTACATCCTTGGCCCATTCTATTTTGAAACGGGGGTCCCACTAAGTTGCTAAGACTGTTCTTAAAAAGCCTCTCAAATAGCTGGGCTTACAGGTGTGTGCCACTGCACCTGGCTGAAACAAAACTTCTTAAGCATTGTTTTATGAACTTGTGCTAAATAGTATTACTTTACTAGCAAGGAAAATTGGAACGCGTGGTTTTTTTTTGGTCAGTATAGAAATGATACAAAAGCAGAGGGGTTCTAGAGTTGGGAAACAAAATGCCTACATAAGCAGTTATTCAGTGTGTGTGTGTGTATGTGTGTGTGTTTAACAAGATAGGGTTTGCATTTCCTAAATTCACAAAAACTTCATGTCCACAGCAGTGATTATAAAGGAAGTCTGTGGCAGGGTGGTTAGAGGTCTTGCTGTGGTGACTTATCAGAAAGGGAAAAAAACATTTTTAAGAAGGATATTTGCCTGAATTTGAAATAGCTAATTTTCATTCTCCAGTTGTATTGTCCATTTGGGTCAATTAACATGAAAGCATGAAGTAGGATCAAGAAGTGATTTGAAGCAGAATACCAAAGACATTCTCAGTGATTTTTTTTTCTAGCTCCAAGATGTAGAATTTATTCATATCTAAGTTTTCCCCCCTTTGATATAGAGCAATCCAAATGTCTCAGTGTCCTGTGTACATCCGTCTTTTTAAAACATTAAATGAGACAACCATGATGATCCTCCTTTGAACATTTCAAACCATTGGGTCAATATAACCCTCCACATTTTCTTGCTTATTCTTATCCATTATTTGTATCAATTTAGCTTGTGTTCTCTTATACAATGAAGAGTTTTTAAAAATAAAATGAAATGTTATTGTATACTCTGAATTGGATGATGACAGCATAAATACATTGGGTTTTTGGAATAATTTTTTTCCTTGGAAATATTTTAGAACCATTTGTTACAGGATGAAAATCAGGCAGATAACCATCTATTTAGATATCATACAATGTGAAGGCTGGGAGAGAAAAATAGGTCAGCATTTCCCAGTCTCTTGAATTTAATGGACCATTAAAAATAACAGCAATAATGACAATGGAAAAGAGATAAACACTGAGTGGACAACTTTATATTTTAACAATTAAGGACATTAAAACATTTTAAAATATCTACATCTTTATTTCATGAAAGGACACTTTATGCCACCCCCCTCAAAAGGAAGAGCAAATATTGTAATAAAGGCTAGTCCTTTAAAGTGAATACACTTGACTTTATAAAAACTTTCTCACTTTTCCCTTCATTTTACTATTGAAGGTAAATTTTCAACAGATTGCAATTAGTCCTCATACAGTGACTGGGATTCTTAACTATCAATAACTTCACCAAATCGTGGAGTTTAGTAGTATCATGCAGCTTATATTTCACAATATTAGCAAATCATCCCAGTGTCTATTTTCCAGGGACTTACTTTAAAACAGTTGGCTTTTTATAATCAGTAAAAAACATGTACATACAACACTTCCAAATCTTGAAGACAACTAACAGATTTAAATGCAAAAGGGGAAAAAATGAAAAATGTGTATGAATTGAACATAGTTCCCTAAGGTGTAAGATTGTGTACCTGTAAGTTCATGGAGCTGTTATTGATCTTTGCCTTATGAAGTGATAATGCTGCTTTTTCTTCCACACCAACTACCCAGGCATAAAGTTAGAATGTTTATTTGTGAAAGGGCAGGTCAAAGTCGCCATGTTAAAGCACCCAATAGGGCTAAGCCACACGTGTGTGAGCCACGTTTATTACAAATAACTTTTGAAACCTACTGCCAATTAAGTCAACTAAACTTACTGACATATCCAGTAAGGAATTCTGTTAAAATGTAGGATTCTGAAAAATTAGTTGTATCAGGACAACATGACGGGAACGAACCCATCAATTTAGAAGCTTGATCACACGGATGGGGAATTTATATTTAAATTCTTTTACACACACACACACACACACACACACACACACACACACACACAAAAGGAAAGACCCCCGTTCCATAAAGGCTCGTGCTCGACGCGAGCGGGAGCAAGCCTCCTTCCTGAAGCGGCAAGAGGCCCCTCAGTTTCCTAGAGGCCCAGGGGTCGTCACATGACCCGCGCGCTGACTGCCGGGAGCCAGGCCTCCTCGCCGAGTCTGCGCAGTCACGCGCGTCTGGCCTCACTGCTGTGCTTTTGCTGACGAGGAAGGTCCTGACGCCGCTTTGTAGACTGTTCTGTGGTGGGACTGGAGGGACGAGTTCGCCAGAGAGTGTGTCCTGAGTGGACAGGAGGCAGTGGGAGTGGATGGGAGCGGCTGTTCAGGGTCTTTAGTGGGGCGAAGCACAGGCTGGGAAGAAGGGCGGGAGGACAGGGGAGGCGAGAGCAGGCTAGAGAAGTGGCCTGAAGAGCCAGCGTAGCGCTGAGAAAAAAGAATTGAAGAAAACAGTGTTATACGGCATGGGGGGTAGTTGTTCGTAGTAACCTAGTTTCCAGCGCCTAAGATGCATAGCGCGGACAGCGGCGGTGACTGATATTTGTCACAGCATGAGAACCCGCCTGTCCATCAGGCCTGAATTAGTTCAAGGCCTTAAGTTGTGACCGGAAGACAAACATTTTTTTTACAGAGACAGAAGTGCACATTGTGTTACTTTGAGAAAGGAGCGGGGATGTAAAAGGAAAAGGGAACATGGAGAGGGGAAGGGAGGGGATCAGTGCTTGCCTGCTGGCTTCTCTGACACATTTTCCCGCTCCCAAGGCAAAGTCGGCGCTGTTGTGCATGTGTAGTATTTTCTATGTGTTATGTTACTATGATAGTACTTAAACTTATGTACTATAAAGATATTAGCAGGGGTGTGGAAATACTATACTGAATTCACTAAACATTTTTCTATTTTTAAACTTTTTAATTGGTTCATATAGTTACATATAACATTAAGGTTTATTTTGACGTAATTATAAATGCATAGAGTATAGTTTGCTCCAATTCAGTCCTCAGTATTTACCCCCCCCTCCTCTGTTCCTTTTCATCTACTCTACTGATCTCTATTTACAGTTCTTAAAAAAATTTAGTATCTTGTGGATATATATAATGAGGAGATTCATTGTATTGTATTCATATATGTACATTGGAAAGTTAGGTCAGATTTATTCCCCCGTTTTCCCTGTTATTCCACTTCTCCTCCCTTCCCCTCAATCCCTCTTTCTGCTCGACTATCTTTCATTTTGATGGCATTCCCCACCTACCATTTTTTCCCCTCTCCCTCAACCCATTTTAGATTAGTTTCCGGAAATAATTTGACCCTGGACTTTCTGAGTCTGATTTATTTCACTTAGCAGTTCTCCAGTTCCATCCATTTACCAGCAAGTGACAGAATTTTATACTTTTTCATGGCTGAGTAATACTCCATTGTATATATGCTACATTTTCTTTATCCATTCATCTATTAAAGGCCACCTAGGTTAATTACATAGTCTGGCTGTTGTGAATTTAGCTGCTATAAACATTGATGTGGTTGATCTTTTGGGTATATATGAAGGAGTGGGATAGCTGGATCATATGATGGTTCTGTTCCTAGTTTTTTGAGTAATCTGCATACTGCCTTCCAGAGTGACTGCACTAATTTGCAGTCCCATCAGCAATTTGTGAATGTACCTTTCTCCCCACATCCTCACCAACATTTCATAATTACCATTTTGACTGGAGTGAGATGAAATCTCAATGTGGTTTTGATTTACATTTCCTTAATTGTTAGAAATGTTGAACATTTTTCATATATTACAAATATCTTTCTTTACAAATTGGTTTTGCTTTTGCTGTCATATTAGTAATGTGACTAATTAGATTCACTGTAATTGTCCAACTCAGCATAGTTTTTAAAAAAGTAACTTGATAACTTGAATGTAGATCACTCTGATGTAGAGACTATACTCTCTTAGGTTCCAACACTTTTTATTTAAGTTTAAACTGAGTATCACAAACTTCTAGAAAAAAAATACCTTTAGAATTTAGGGAAAAGAAAAGAAAACCGACCAAAAACCAAAACCAAACATTTTATGGGAAAACAATATTATGCTATGGTAAGATAAGATAGGACTATAGAAGCAACTTCAAACTAGAAGAGTTGTTTCTGGTCTGGCACAGGCTGACTTGTTTGAACTTGGTTAAACATCTCTGTTTAAACATTCCTGTTTTCTCAATTGTGGAAAAAAAGATACATTGAATAAGATAAACTGTAAGATCTGATGAACTGTAAGATCTACTTCAACATTAAGATTTTGTGAAGTTAGAAGAATCCAAATGAGCTAGTCCTAAAACAAGATACAAATGCCAGAGACTAGTGTGGCTGCTGAGTGTATATAAAGGAAGAGTTGAGAATGATGAGAATAGTAGGTTGGCTTCAGATGGTAGAGCATATATTAGAATTTGAACTTACCTTGAAGCAGTGGATAGTGAAAGGTTTTTGAATGAAGGCAGTGCAGTAATCAAAGTCTTAAAAAAATCAAAGTCTTATCCTAAACAGTTGTTAGGATAAATTAAAGAAAGGGGAAATTAAATTTAAGTAAATGGTCAATTGTGAGACCCTAAATAAATAGCAGGAAAAGGAAGGGATTCAAGAGAACTGTACATAAATTTGATACTGTTCTAAACTTACAGTTTTTGCCTCCAGAATATTATGGCAAATCATCTTGTAAAGCCTGATTCTAGAAATTGCAAGAGAACAAGAGAATTGGAGGTAAGCTGTGTGTTCCTAGAGTCTTAATCTTTTATTCTATTTTACATACTTCTTAAATTTCTTCCTTTTAAGAATGTGCCAATCATTGAGCACAGTGGTGCACACCTGTTATCCCAGCTACTCTGGAGGTTGAGGCAGGAGGGTTGCAAGTTCAAGGCCAGTTTGGGCAATTTAGTGAAACTCTGTCTGAAAATAAAAATAAAAAAAGATTTAAAAAGGGGCTTAGTGGTAGCGCACCCTGGAGTTTAATCACTAGTACCAAAACAAAACAACAAAAACCAAAAAACCCACAAAAACCCAAACTTTTGTTGTTAAATGGAATTTAATACATATACCCAGAGCTAGGATTGTCCTAGAAGGAACTATGTGGACTCCAGTTGCTTTTTCACTAATTTTAGATTTCCAGGAAACTATTGGGAGACTTCTTTTTGCTAGTTTGTGATCTAGAGACAGAAGTGAGTCCAGACCTTTATGATACATAGGACTTTTTTTTTTTGCAATGATAAGTAAGACACCTAGGTACTATAGTTATTAATCTTTTAAAAGAAAAGCTCTGTATTTAGTCCTTCATCACTGCCTTCACCAATTAATCTGTTGCATTTGGGACATTATTTGCCCCCTTGAAAATTATAATATGTTGCAAAATTTTGCAAGTATTTGGTTATTTTTCCAATAATAACCACTATATTTGTGTTAGCTTTTTGTCACTGTGACAAATACCTGAGAAAAACAATTTCTTAGGTTCTTAGGTTCATGGTTTCAGTTCATGGTCTGCTGGGCCTAAGGTGAGGTAGAACACATGGTGGAAAGGTATGGTAGAAGAAAACTTGTCAGTTTATGGCAACCAGGAAGCAGGGGGATGTAGGGGGGGTGGGAGGGAAGGTTCAGGAACAAGATATTGACTCCAAGGCATGACTCCAGTGACCTGCTTCCTTCAATGATGCCCCACCTGTTTACAGTTCTCATCAACTCCAGTAGTCTATTCAGATGTCAGTGGATTAACTCACTGATAAGGACAGAGCCCTCATGATCCAATTACTTCCCCATTTTTCCATCTTTGGACATTACTGCACTGGGGACCAAGCCTTCAACAGATGAGTTTTGGGGGAACATTTCAGATCTAAACCATAACACTGTTGCTGTGAACATATCCAATGGCTCAAGATACAAGATAAATTTTCATCAAGGGATTAAAACCATATTCAAAATCTAATCTAAAATCAAGACAAAGGTACTTTTTAGTCCTGAAAGTTTAGCAACATACTTCTTAGTCCTAAAAGTTGAGCAAAGTACTTCTTAGTCCTAAAAGTTTCCTTGATAAAAAAATTTCAAATGACTAGTATGTAATTTCTGTTTGATTTTTCTAATATATATATATTGTATATATATATTAGAAAAATATATATATAATATATTTTGCTTTTTAAATAAACATAATGATACTTCTTTACTTTCTTCTTTTAGTCTCAAATGCCAGATAGCCCACAGCTGTCCTCTCTTGGAAAATCGGATTCATCTTTCTCTGAATGTTCTGGACTGTTTTATAAAGATGAAACCTTAGAGAAAGATTTAAATGGTGATATATAAAATGATTATATTTCTATATACTGATTATAACATGCATGTTTATTATATTTCATAACTTAATCAACGATTCTTTAAACAGATATGAGCAAGGAAATTAATCTAATGTTGTCTACGTATGCAAAGATCTTAAGGCAAGTATTAAAGTATATTTTCTTGGGTCTTTATGTTAGAAATAGTATTTGTCTCTTGGAAATTCTGTAATGGGAAGTTTAATCCTGTTGCTGAGAAACCTTTCAAGTAATTAAACTTTGGAAAATTTTTTATTCTATCTCAATTCCTTGTGATATATTAGTTGGTTATTTTCAGGGAATAAACCCAAATTTTCCACTAAACATCCTTTGTTTTGGTAATGCCAGAGCCAAAACTAGACTGCATATGTCTTGACCTCTTACTTAGATGATATTGCATTTAAACTTTTATATAAATGCCTTTTTGAGAAAAATACCATTCAGTGAAGTTAATTATTATAGAGTGATATTAAATATGATGTTATTTAATATACTTTATCTTATATTTTATCATGTCTTTTTAAAATATATATATTTTTTAGTTGTAGTTGGACACAATACCTTTATTTGGTTTATTTGTTTTTATGTGGTGCTGAGGATCTAACCGAGGGCCTTGAATGTGCTAGACGAGCACTCTACTACTGAGCCACAACCCAAGCCCCTATCGTGTCTTTTTATCTTTGTATTTGAAGACTGAATTTAGGTATTTAATTGGCGTAAGATTATGGTGAATATAAGGCGATTTTTAAAAAAACTACTAGATAGTCATCATACTTGAGTAATAGTTTGTATGGCTGTAAAAATCACTTATATAATTTAATATTAGTATTATAATGTATAAGATTATAAGTATTATGCATGCTTTCTGCTGTGTCAGGAGACTGTGAGTAGTCAAAAATGTTTTTGAGACTAATTTAACATTTTCTTAGTAAATTAATAAAGCTATCTCATGCACATAGTCATTTAAATGAAATAATTAACAAATCTTGTTTAATAAAGAACATTATCATGATAATGTTTATAGACTATGCAACTATTTAGTTTACCATAAAACTTTTTATTCCCTATTAGTGAGAGAGCAGCAATAGATGCATCTTACATTGATGAGATAGACGGACTCTTTAAAGAAGCAGATATTATTGAAAACTTTCTCATACAAAAAAGAGAGCTCCTGAGACAGAGGTTTACAGTGATTGCAAATACACTGCACGGATAAAATGTTTAAACTTAAGATAAGCTGGGGATTGAAACATATTGTTATAATGAAAGAATGACATGTATGTTCTGAAGGCTTTCTAGTTGTTAAAAAAAATGTAGATCTTAAAGAAGAGGAAACTCCTTGAATGTTTTTCTAGATTTAAAAGGGCCTTTAAACTTAACGTTAATATGAAATATGTAACTTTTCTCTTAAAGGTCAAATGTTTGGCATATTTTATAAAAATGTAAATTATTTAAATCATACATGAATTCTTTTCTTTCTTCTTTTTCCTAAAACCTTTCTTAAGCTTCTAAAGGAGAATTCAGTTAATTTGATTATGTGTAACAGTATTATACTTTTTTCTTACAGAATGTTTTGTTTAAAAAGCAAATAATTTGGGACATAATGTAAAATTTTTTATGGCTAGTCTTATAAAAGAATATTAAAGCATTAAAGGTAATTTGTTCAGTTTCTAAGTATGTAAAACAGTATAACTATGTGCTATTGTTATTTAATATTATTTGATTATTTTCACTATTATTATATATAACTAATACAAACTTGGTTTAAAATATGTTTCTGTGCTAAAATAAAACCCAGAAATTACTAACTAGAACCTTGTGTGAGTGGCTTTTTATACACATCAACCAGATCAGTGTATGCAGTTAGTGATTATATTTAGAAGCCTTAGAGCAGTGTGGTATGGACTAGAGATTAATGATACAGCAGTAAGGAGATTAGCTTAACAACAGGATGTCCAGGTCATTTCAATTGTATAATTTAGAAATTGAATTTAGAAGATCTCTAGTGTTATTCATCAGGCTAAAAATATTCTTCCTTTGATGTAAATAAAGTACTGCTATAATTTTGTTCAAACTATATTGATATATAAATTGCATAGGAAAACTATAATTGTCAGATTTATAAAAATCACAGTACCCATTTTTCAATCACAGATAATTCATTTTTCTATATGTCTGTTTTTCCAGTAAAAGCAATAACAGATTTGGACACATTTGCAAACAGTATCACAGAGAATTGGTATTTTTAAAGAAGATAGCTTGTTTGCCTTGCTGTGTTCTAAGCTCTAAAATTAAATCTCACTGTTTTAAGGCATAAACATTATATCAATACTCATACTGGAGAGGATGAAAAAATTTATAAATTTATAAATAAATTAAAAAAGTTGGGTATATGTGGGGGTAGGAAAGAAGTTGGAATAAGATGGACATCATTACCCTAAGTACATGTATGAAGACATGAATGGTGTGAATATACTTTGTATACAAACAGAGATATGAAAAATTGTGCTCTATATATGTAATATGAACTGTAATGCATTCTGCTGTCATATATATAACAAATTAGAATAAAAGGGTATATGGAAAAAATTATTGGGTTGGTTGAGATATACACTGCTGGAATAGGATAGATTAGAGGTCAACAAAATAACTTAGAAATGAAATTTTTAGGCGCCTGGGGTTGTGGCTTAGTGGTGGAGCACTCGCCTAGCATGTGTGAGGCCCTGGGTTCGATCTTCAGCACCACATAAAAATAAATAAATAAAATAAAGGTATTGTGTTCACTACAATTAAAAAATACTAATAAAAAAAGAAATGAAATTTTAAAAAACTTAATAACAACCAAAGATGATATTTGAGTTAATATGACATATCACCTGAATCTTTTTTTTTAAAGAGAGAGAGAGAGAGAGAGAGAGAGAGAGAGAGAGAGAGAACTTTTTAATATTTATATTTTTTAGTTTTTGGTGGACACACATCTTTATTTTATTTTTATGTGGTGCTGAGGATTGAACCCAGCACCCTGAGAATGCCAGGTGAGCGCGCTACCGCTTGAGCCACATTCCCAGCCCCTCACCTGAATCTTGAGTCATTTTATTAGAGTTCTTTATGTTTGAAATAGAAAGATGACTCTGTTGACCTACTATCTTTAAGAAATACTCAGTTTTGCTAAGCATTTATTATTATTATTATTATTATTAAAAATAAGGTCAACAGATTATTTCAAATTGAATTTTATAATATACTTGTTATATATTTTATAGTATCATTATTGTTCAGCATCTGGTTATTCCCTTTATAATTCCAGAAAATTTATTGGGTAATTTCATTTGTTGAGATTAAGACTAAGGGACTCATATTTTAAGTCACAGTGTCTTTACTATTCAGAATGGCCACCTTCTAGTACCAAAATGCCTAAAACCTTAATAATTAAGGCTTATTTTTTAAAAGTCACATTTTGATGATTTTTGTACCACCCATATAAATAAGAATAATTTCACAACTGCAATATACTGTTGCAGGAATCACTCTTTATCATTTTAATAAATTTCAAACGTTTTAAAATTATTTATCATTGACACTAATCACAACATATATTGAACCAGCTTTGTGTATTATACTATGTTAGGCACTGTGGAAAGTATAGAATAGTTTAATAAACTGCCTTTTGACATTTTTCACCACTCCTTTATTAAAATACACTTAAAGTTTTGCTAGGAAGACATGACATGCTAATGTTTAAAGCATCTCTATGGGAGTTACTAGAACTGGAAAGGGGGTCAAATTTTTTTTTTTTTTTTTTTTTGCAGTGGTGGAGATTCAACCCAGGTCCATGAGCATGCTATGCAAGCACTCTACCACTGAACTACATCCACAGCCCTTGGGAAGTAGATTTTGAGTTGGATTTCTGAAAATGAAAGAAGGTAGACTATTTCAGACAGGGAAAAGCTTGTTTAAGGGCATAGAAGAACCACAGCACATCATGGTATGTTAGGCACTTTGCAGAGATGAGAATTCATAATGGGGAATAGTTATCATCTAAACTGCTGGAGAGCAGGGGCTGACTCTTGTTTTTTGGTATTCTTACTTTGTATCATAGTATTCAATAGACTGGTGTTCAAAAATGTTTGTTAAAGTAATAAAATCATATATGTATTTTTTATGGTGGGCATACCTTCACAGGGTATGCCCTGTGGTACTATGTTGTCAAAAAATGTTTGTAAAATCAACGATTGAAAAGGTATGAAATGATAGAAAGGCAAAGAATGAAAGGTAAGTTGTTTCTTGATTGTAGAATCCTTTATTGACAGTCTTAAATTTGGACTTTATTTTGTGTTTGAATCTTTCAGAGGAGAGGAATGGCACAATGAAGGTGATCACCTTGGATCCAAATCAACTAACCTACCAATAGTGTAAAGATAGAGGAAAGTTTAAAAAGGGAGTCTACTATTGGTGATACAATTTTTTTTTTTTTTTTTTTGCAATTGGCAGAAGGGGGGGGGGTTATTGAACCAGCATGCTGGGGCTCCGTGCCCACTCAAGAAGGGAAAGCAGCCCAGAGCCCCGAGCAGGGGCTGAGCACTGCTTAAGTACACTTTTTGGGGAGGGCGGAGGGCTTTGTATACATCAGAACAAATCATCATGAGGCGCGGGAAAATTGAACAACTCCTAAACATGATTGGTTCATTCATTGGTGGGAACAGGTCAGGCTGGAGTGATAGGTCATTCCTAAGGAGGGGTTACATTTAAACTGATTGGTCCAGGCCCTGCAATGCCTATGTGCGACCACACAGAGCCCTTCAGTTATTAAACAACCAATCAGGGGAAATGTTTACTGGGCGGTTCTAAGCATTGTCTTAACAGCTAACTCAGACCTTGCAGCTTAGAAACTTTTACAACACCCGATCTTTTACCCTTTAACTTTTACGCTTTAACTTCAATTTCTTTTACCCTTACATTCCCCACTCCTTTTTTCTGACTACTTTTAATCTTAAAAGTAATGCATCACGATTATTGAAGGGTTTCACATTTCATGAGTTGTTTTGCGTTCCCTGGAATCATTTTCAGCATGGCCTCCATTTTAGATTCCACTCGGTATTAGACCCCGATTTATCTAACTACACTGACTACCTAACTTAAAATCTGCCTTTATTCCCCCCTCTAATTTGGGAACTCCTTACTGCTGTAAGGAAGGGGGGGCGAAGAGAATCTTTCTGGCTTCTTCAGGCTGAAAAGGGACGGTGTGGGGCAAGCAGTTTGGAGTCCCCCTTTAAAAATATCGGGTCTATCGAGTGGTCCATGATAAAAGTTCAATTGAGAAGTATTAGGCTGGAGGGCCATTCGAGTGATAGGTGGTCTATAAGAGAAACAAGAATTCATTAGTACTGGAACCATATTGATGCAGCAATAAATGCCATAGCACAGGAATATGCCAATGAGTATGATGGCAAAGACAAAGACAAACAATGTTTTCCACCAGGAAGTACCAAGAACCAGGAGCTAAGATATTGTTTCCATGACAAAGTTGCTGAGGACATGGCTTCTATCTGAGCATGTAAATCTTTAAGGATATTTGTCACCTTGCCAGAAATGTCAGGGATGTAAACACAACAACTAACATTTAGGTTTACAGATGTCCTTTTTACTAGTATGACCTATGTCTAATAGAGAAACCTTTAATTTGCTACTTAGGGCTGGATAACCATACTAGCAAACACCAAGCCTACCTGTGTAGGTTAGGAATATCTGTGGGCCTTAAACTAAAAACTACTCTGGTAGTTCCTTTTAATAGTTATCAGACATTCCTGTCTGAGAATCTCTTTTGTAGCCTCCAGTTTACTTATTTTTGGAAGTTACATTTAATTATTATTTAATTTAAAATGTCTAGGAACAGCTGTGCTTTGGCTTTAACTATCTTTGCTAAGTGTTTAAGATGAAGCAATTCAAACTGACTTTTGTTCTTATCTATTGTCAACAGTCAGCTGAGTTTCCCTGGGTGTCCTCGGGGAACTTCATAGCAGCTTCTCAGTTCTGCTAGTGCCATTTACCTTAGGATGGGTCCTGGCCTTGCTTGACCATGTGGTTTCCCTTGGAAGCATCAGGGATGTCTCCCCTTTCTAATGACCCTCCTCTTTACAGCAAATGCACTGATTGGCTTTCTGTCCTCCACTGGTCTCATTAATCTCCCTGCTCAGGAGGTTATGTGGCCTAGAGTTGCTGAGCCCTTTGGAGAAGTCCCCTATTCCCTGATTCAGACTGACTCAGAGGGCAAGAGCCGAATATTGGTTTTTTTGGCCCTTTTAATTTAACTAATTTTAAAAACTTGATCTTAAACATCCAGCAAATAAGTTAACAGCCTTATATTAAGAGCACTGGGCTTTAATGTGTATCTCTCTATCCTGTAGGTGATAACTCCTTATCTTATGTTGACCCAGGTTGTGTTCTTAAAGCAATACCTCTTTAAAACATTAACAGGCAATCCTTAAACCATCTATAAGCAAACTACAAAACAAAACTAACTAGGGTAAAAACATATTTAGCTTATATAATAGCTACCTTGAATTCTGGCAGGGTTATACATCATAATTCCCTGTTTGAGATCCTAGTAATCTTGGCAAAAACCTACTTTTGGACACAACTTTAACTGTACTGAAATCTGGCTTACTTCTTTCATAGCCACTTTCACATGTAGTGATATGGGACAGAGCCTTATCTCAAGTAAGGCAGGGCTCTTTATAAATCTCAAGTACTATAGTTCTGAAGCTGATCATTTTACAAAGTTTACATAAATTGTTGTTCAAGTTTACATGAACATTAGCTAACACAATATAATATCACACCTAAAACATGAATTAAAGGCTGAAAGCTTTTAACCTCTTGTAGAAAAGTAGTAATGTACTTTTGTGTTTTGCAATAAAACCTTCACACAGATTAGGCTCTCATTAACTTAAAAATACATAAATTGTATCTCAGAGTAGAAAGTAACATGGAACCGTACATATTTTATTGATAACAAGTCCAGTTGTAGAACACAAATGATATGAATAAATCTCCGACATGTTTTTTTTTTTAAGCCTAAAATTACCATACAACTTTAGAACACCAGCTTGATACAATGTTCTTTTGAAGCTTCTACCTTATAGACTTGTATACCTGGAAGATATGAACACATTAATAGCACCATAATTACATTGATGTTTTTATATTAACCGAGGTTAGCTTTTAAAGTAACAACATTACAATATTGAAAAATAACAGCTGTTGTTTAACCATAGTTGTATAATCTTTAATTTCTTTAAGATTATTTACTCAAAAACTTACACACATAACCAACTTACACAAACCTTTTTTATCACTTACTTAAACCTTCTTAATTACTTAATCACATAGACTCTCTTATCCAGAAACACATTTTCCCTCTATTAAATCCATACCTAAAACTTTCTAGTTTTTTTTCCATCTGTTAACCTCCTTTTGTTCACACTTTAAAACAATATCTGTAAATTTCTGAATTTAAGCAGATTATTTTATAGACACCATCATTTTATCTGTTTACCCAATTTAAATTGAACCATTTGAATCACGTGAATCAAAGATATTTGGATCCATTTTTAAATTTTTTTATGAGCGCTCCTCATCTGTCGATTGTCATATCACTGCAGGATATATGGACATACACACATACAGACATACCGACATACAACACATAACACAAGTGTAACACCCTTGTAGCTTTTTCAGGTGAAATCTCCATTGAAATCTCCACAGTTGATCAGAAATAGAACTGATCAGAAAACATTAACCCGTCTGTGGGATTAAAATCATGAACTCCAAAAAAATGCAGAATCTAAGAAAAAGCAAGAGTCCTAAAAAAGATGACTGGCCAGTAATTAATAAATACCATATAATTTACTTTAGGGTTGGGGTCTAGTTTGAGTTCAGGTAAAAAGACACTTTAACCTTTTTTTTTTTTTTTCCTTGGGCCTGAAATCTGCCCTCTGTTGAGCCCCAGGCTTCTTCTATTTGCATATCAGCTTAAGTCCTGGCTGAGGTCTGGAAGGAACCGGGAAAACTGGAATTCTGAGCAGAAACCTCATGCCTAAGGCATTTTAGCTATAAGTCATAATTTCGAGGTTTAAGATGTAATTTTCAAAATTTTATATCTTTATATCTTTTTACATTAGAAACACTTGCTCACGCAAAACTGAAAATAGGATCTTTTTCTGATAATATAAAGGCCACCATCAGAGGAAATTCCCTCAGGATCATTAAGCTGCTTCCTTTGTTCTGAAGTTTCTAAAGTAGTATTAAGTTTTATCATGTATATCCAAAATCAAGCCTTAAAAATTTCCAAGACTGTTGCTAATTAATGTCATTTCAATAAGCCAGACCAACGTTTTAGTTAAGCAAACAGAGGTGGGGTAATCCCTAAAGTGCAGGTAAGGAAGGAGGAGACTCCCCAAAGCAAAATGGCTTTGGCAGCTGCTGGGAGCCCCTTAGTTCCACCTTTTACTTATAGGATTAGTTCCTCTGGCTTGATCTGACCCCAGGCACTAGGCATTTCTCACATCTTCTAACTTTTCAGTAGTCAGCTTCCCAAAAAGTTCATCTTCTGCTTGCAGTTGTTTCGAGTTTGAGAAAAGTTTAAGCGAGATATCAAAGTTTTTAGACCCCAGGCATTTCCCTCTGCAGTGGGCGTGCTCAAGCCAACTACGGGAAGAAAAGAAAACACTGCTTCCCTAATCTCGCTTAACAAAGGGGGGTAAAGTTTATCAAAGTTCTTTAAAACACAGCTAAGAGAGGTGTAAAAGGTGAGAACAGAAAAGCTGGCAGTTCTATTGACTTTTGGTCACTCACAGGAGAAGCATTAGGTTAAAATTTAGCTAAAGTTACTTCCACACATCTAAGGCCGTTTGGAATTTGGGACTCTGCATCGGTCCAAAGTAAAACAATGCCATCACACTTAACAGAGACACAGACAAAATGACACACAAAGATCATCATGTAGCTTCCGTTCGTTCACAACCCCAAGATCTACAATCTTGTGACTCAAGGAGAATGGAGGGAAAAGGGGGAGGAGCAGAAGGATTGAGTGATAGGATCTTGGGGGAAGGGGTCGGAGTGGAGGCAGGGACCAAGAAAGGCTTCAGGGACAGAGGCGTGGAATGGCTTTGTCCCATACTGGGAGTTACTCAGGCAGAGACAGGGACAATACAAACGTGACACAGAGACAAGGACAAACAGTAAACGGTTAACACAAGTTTAGAGGCAAAGATTAAAGACAGACTGTGAATCCAATCTGAGAGAAAGAATTGCCGGCGAAACCAAACGGGTTGGCAGCAGAGTACAAATGAGGGCACTCTTGTCCCTCTACCAACTGGGGGCACTTTTGCCCCCCCCCCCCGAATCCTGTAAGGCATCCCTAAGAGGAGTGGCCTGTGGATTAGGACACGTCTGTCACCACTGCCAGGGAGAATTTACACTCTCCGCTGACGGCCACGCTGCCAACCCAACCAAACCAATCCAAGCCAAAGACCAAACCTGAACCAAAAAGCTCTGAGAACTTACGCTCTCCATCGAGCCAAAAACCAAAAAGCTCTAAGCGATCGCAAAGGAAAAACAAGAAGGAGAACAAGGAGGAGAAGAAAAGGAGGAAGAAGAAGAGGAAGAGGCGCCTTACTTACCCCCTAAAGGAGTCCATTGGAGGTCTCCTTGTCCGGCGATGCGCTTTTCCCGGCCAACGCACCAAATGTAAGGGTCCCGCGAAACGTCGGAGAAAGAGACCACCAAGTGACCACTCATGCAATTGGCAGAAGGGGGATTTATTGAACCAGCATGCTGGGGCTCCGTGCCCACTCAAGAAGGGAAAGCAGCCCAGAGCCTGGTGATACAATTTTAATATTTCAAAACGAAAGACTCCTTATTATAGATAGTTTGTTGGGATATTTGCTCTGGACATGAGACAAGGAGAGATTACTGGTGTTTTGAAGCTCCACCCCTTACCTCCCCTCCCCATCCCATTCTGTCACTGAGCCAGGGACAACCCTGGAGAGTCAGGGACAACCCAGGAAGTTCTGTGAGCGTTCATTGTTTAGTGTTTCTTCCAACTGTGACTGCCGGTGAGTGTAAGCGTTTGAAATCACAGGATCTGCAGCTACTGAACAAATTAAAAAATGTGTTTTCAAATCTTTCTCCATTTTGTCAGGAATCGTTCTACCACTGCAGTAGGTTTTCTTTCTGTGGCAGTGTACCGGCTCCCAGGTAGGGGATTTACCCTTTCTTTTCCTTTTCCTGCCAGTCTGTACTTAAGACTCTCTGCTTCGTTCCCGAAGATTACTGAAGGCTTTTGAAGCTTTCCCTTTCTGTGCAGAGCAGATACAGGCAGCAACTCTGCAGAGCCAGAAGTGAAGGAAGGCCCAGTCAGGATTTGTTTGTTTATTGTTAGGGAAACAGTCCTCATGTTCATGTTTTATACAAAATATAGGGGTAGGATTCAGGTTTAGGGATTTTCTTGGATCTATAATAGGAAGGATATTTACTATTCAGACTTTTCTAAATTGAAAATCACTGCCACATGTTCTAATGTAAATATTTGGTTTTTCTATTTGCATTCTGGGGAATTGCCTTTAAACCTACTTTTTCAATTATATTTCTACTATTGTTTCATGATTTTATTTCTTGGAATTGGCTCATATAGAACTGTCAGAAATCTATCCCATATGCATTATGAATTGTATAATTATTTAATCCAATAACTTTGCTTGCATTATGCAAAGTAATAGGTACTGGAAGAAGAGGGGAGACAAAAGCCAGATCCTATACTCGAGGAATACTGGTGGTAGAGTTTGTAGAACATATTCATCTAAAACATACAAGACAGGAAATAACACAAGGGCTATAAGAGCTATAAATTGCTTCTTTGTGATTTCAGACTCAGGAGAATCAGTTCTTGCTATAGGAAATGGGAATGCCATGCTTAGGAAGCAGGTGACATGGAAACTGGATCTTGAAGGATAAGTTAGATATGTGAATTCCATCTGAAGAACACGAGAAATATCCTTGTGTTATGAGAATGTTATCCTCGTGAATGAGAATGTTATGATTATGATAAGAAGAAAATAGGACTGGTCCAGGTAGGCTGGAGTAAAAGACATTATCAAGAGGCAGAATGACATAAAAATATGGTAATATTTTTAACCATGCATAATTGGATGGGATCTGCAGTCCTGCAGATGTGCTATTTAGAGCTGAAGGCCTTTGGCCATCCCAAACACAAAGGGGATAATAAGCCCACTAATTAGGAAGCTGTGGTGTAGAAAATAATTTGATTCCCTAATTTCTCCTTCCAATTAGGAGGCTGCTATAATATCCAGTTAAGAGGTGAGAGCCCAAATTAAACAGTAAGAAGGAAGTGACTGGTATGAAAGTGAAGTTGAGGCATCTGTGCTGAGGACCGGTTCAGGAAAAAAATAGAGGGAGTTGTCCAGGAGGGAGGAGCTGTTCAAAATCTTTACAATTTCCCCTAGGCACTCTTGCAGACTTTTGAGCCCTAATAATTTATATTGGCCACCTATGTTCTCTCCTTAACATCCCCTACTGGCCCAGTGTTGGTATAGTCAGCAAAACTTAACCATTTAGTGAATGCGAGGGGAGTGCACAAAATGAATTCGAAGCTTACAGAGATCAGCTGGGTGATGTGGCTGGTGAAAAAATTTATTTGGAAGGGGGAAATAAAGAATTATATTTTGACATGTTTAAGAGTCACTTGCTAGAAGTAATTGGTGAATTGAAACTAGATAGAGATTACAAGTGAAAATGCTGAGATGAAAGAATAAAGGTTCAAGGTGACACCTTAGGAAGATTTATGTGGTGATAAGGGAAAAGGAGCCAATAAAGGGAATTAACATTTAGAAAGTATCATTATATTTAATTATGAGATCGACATGAACAGGAAGTGTTAACCTCTTTTTATTCCCACTTTATCATTGAAAAACCTGAAGTTCAGAGAGATTAAGGAATATGCCCAAGGTTGTCAGTTAATAAGCAACAAAGCTGGCATAAAGCACAGAGTTGTGAGAAAGAGAGCAGGAAAGTCAGAATAGTACAGTGTGTCGGAAGCCAAGAATAGAAAGGGGTTTGAAGAGATGTTGACAACAATATCAAGTACCACAGAAAGTTTGAAGAGCATGTACTATATTGCCAACAACATGGAGTATAGAACATATAGACATAAAAATACTTTCTAAAATGTAAATGTTTCAAATGCATCTGTACTCAGATAAGCACCCAATCAGGTTATCCAATTTAATTTTACTTAAAAAAGTGAGATGAGTACAATACCTGACTTCAAGGAATTTATTTTAATTTAAGAGAAGAATAAGAAGGAAAATAAGACAAATATATATAATGTTAATAAAAGTAGGATAAAATAAATAGGTTTGCTTCTTTCTCTCTCTCTCTCTCTCTTTTTTTTTTTTTAAAGCAGCATCTTAATACCTCTTTTAAGGGCTGGAGTCATGGCTCAGTGGTAGAGCGCTTTCCTAGAATGTGTGAGGTGCACTGGGTTCAATCCTCAGCACCACATAAAAATAAATAAATAAAAAGGTATTGTGTCCATCTACAACTAAAAAATGTTTTAAAAAACCTCTAATAATATGGTTCCCAAACTTAAATATGCCTAAGAATACCGGATTGCTTTCTTCCAGAGATTCTGATTTATTATGTACAGAGTTGTGTCCAGGAGTTTGCATTTTAGCAACAACATCAGGTACTATTTCTTTGCAAATAGTCCTCGGACTGGACTTTGAGAAACAATGTTTAACAAATCACTTATTATCAATAATCTGTTTTTTTACTAAGCAGAGTAGAGTGAAGTTTCTAATGCTTTTTATCCTTCAGCAGTGCCTGGCACTTGTTAAATGAATAAAGTAATTCCAAGAAAGAAGATATATAGTAAATCTTATTGGATTATTCATTAAAAGCTATATAAATGATAATACCTAATACTTTTGAGTATTTATTGTATTCTAACTCATTTACTTATAGCTTTAGGTATGATGAGAATTATTATTTCCCCAAATATAAAGGAGGAAATAGTACAGAGAGGTTGAGAGTCTGTTTGGGAAGTGACCAAGATTTGAAACCAAGAAGTCTGGAGCCAGGCAGAATTTGAGCCTACAGTCTTAAATATTACACTGTGCTTCCTTTTAAAGGAAGTAACATTTGAAATAGAACTTGTGCAATATGTAGAGTTTTTTAAAGGAGAAGTTTTGGGAAGGACATACAGAATGAAAGTGAATTTTATTTGGGAAATCAGGAAATAGTTGGGCTTGACTGAATTGTTACATGCAGGAAAGTAAAAGTTCTCGTGTGCCTCTGAACTGAATATCTGCCTAAAGAATGCAAATCTCATTTAGTCAGGGGAATGATATCCATATGTGTTTGTTTATTTTTCTACTTTCAACTTCTGTATCACTGTTAAACTTTTATGAAAAAAATAAAGGATTGTATTTTATATATTTGATTGATTATTTGCATTGATTACCCTTCTGCATTAAGCAATACTGTCTTGTGAACACTCAGTAAGTATGAAATATTAGGGATAATTTCAGCTTCTGAATATATGAGTTTTACTTCTTGTAGTTTTTGAACTTCTGGTAATCTCATAATGAGTATCACTGCATAAATTAATTTATGATACCACTTTCATAGAAAATACCATCTTCTTTCATCTACATGCTATTAAAATGGAAGAAATTAGGGGCTAGGGCTGTAGCTCAGTGGTAGAGTGCTTGCCTCGCATGTGTGAGGCACTGGGTTTGATCCTCAGCACCACATAAAAATAAATAAATAAAATAAAGTTATTGTGTCCATCTACAACTAAAAGAAATATTAAAAAATAGAAAAAATTAAATTTAACATCATATCAAATTTACAGAAATCACTATAAATTTTTGAGATCACATTCTAGTATATCTAAAATACTGGGGTCAAGGTCATTATGATAATATTGAATGGTGGTCATTTAAATTTTGATGTTGTTGTTATAGATGGACAAAATACCTTTATTTATTTTTATGTGGTGCTGATGATCAAACCCAGTGCTTCACACATGCTAGGCAAGTGCTCCACCACTGAGCTACAACCTCAGCCCAATCATTTTAAATTTTAACAGTGAAGTTGTTATTAGCACATCTAGGGTTAGCATGTAGAGTGATCCTTGTAAAAAGATAAGCATTGCTCAACTATGAGGAATGAGAAAATAAAGTCTTGAGTTAATTCTTAGGCAGATTAGTACTGCAAGAAACAAAAGAAAGATTTTTGTGGCTCAAAAGTGGAGAACCAGTTTTGGTAGTCTGAGAATGAGGAAGCAGAGGGAAGGATTTGGAGACCATTTGATGTTAGGTTCACATTTCCCTTAAGCTGTCAGTCTATAGATTATTGCTTATGGGTCAATAGGCATGTTTATAGAAAATCTGGCAACTTTTTTTTGTGTTGTCCTTTGGCTTTCTCTTCACAGTTTTGAAGACATACATGGAAAATACTCATCAGAAAAAAACCCTCTTGGGGCAGCGGCAGAATTTGCCATGTATTGCACCACTGCTGACCACGGTGGAGGAGACTGTGCAGATCATCTCTGCTCAAGTCAAGGGACACATTCCTGAGTGGCTCCATGGCTATCTACTTCGGGTTGGACCTGGAAAATTCGAATTTGGGAAGGATAAGTAAGCCTACATTTTGGAGAACAATGTAGATTTTTGGGAACGGGCTGATTCTGTGGAATAGGAATTAATATCTTCTTTTTCTCTGATGCAAACATTGTCATTCAGTTCCTGTGATTACAGGACAGAAAGTATAGCCTAGTGGAGAAAAAAACCAACAAGACTTAATTGTTTTTTAAATGTCTTTCTTTTCCTATTCTGCAGAATATTGTAAATTTGAAGCCCTCAAAGTTTATGCCAAAAGAGAAGTGGCAGGACTGTGTGACTACCAAGCTGTTGCATCACAAGTTGAAGGACAGCAGTGTCTTTACCTCCTACCATTCTTGCTTGCACCCCATACTCCCCAGATGCAATGCCCTCTTTCAGTTCCTTATACTGGCCACATCTTTTTTTTTTTAAATTAAATTATTTATTTATTCTAATTTGTTATACATGATGGCAGAATGCAATTCATTTCATATTACACATATAGAGCACAATTTTTCAAGTCACTGATTGTACACAAAGTATTTTCACACCATTCGTGTCTTCATACATGTACTTAGGGTAATGATGTCTAACTCATTCCACCATCATTCCTACTTCCTTGCTCCCTTCCTTCCCCTCCCTCCCCTTTGCCCTATCTAAAGTTCCTCCATTCCTCCAATGCTCCACCCCCACCCCTCATTGCCATTATGATCAGCATCCTCATATCAAAGAAAACATTCCAAAAACACTTGGTTTTTTGGGATTGGCGTACTTCACTTAACATGATTTTCTCCAACTCCATCCTTTTACCTTCAAATGCCATGATTTTATTCTCTTTTAATGCTGAGTAATGTTCCATTGTGTATGTATACCAAAGTTTCCCTATCCATTCATCTACTGAAGGACATCTGAGTTGGCTCCATAATTTAGCTATCAGCCACATCTATTTTTGCTCAGCATCTTAGCATTAACTCTCTTACCTATCTTCCCCAATCTTTCCAGGTCTCATTCTTATCGTCCAGATGCACACTAGATCTCCTGTTCTTTGAGTCTTCTCTATCTTCCAATCTAAAAACACTAGAAATTATTATATTACCAATTTAATTCTCTATACAGCACTGTCATTGTCTGTGGTTTTGTTTGTTGATTTGTGTGTTAGCTGTGTTGTCCCTATTAGAATATAAGTTCCATGAAAGCAGAGGCTTTTTAATCACTTGATATCTTTAATATCCAGAATAGTGTACTGCACCCAGATAGCACTCGATGAATAGATATAAACTCTTGAGGATATCATGTCTGTGTGTCTAGTAGGGATGTGAAACAAAATGCCTATGTTCTGGAAGGATTCTGCTTTTTTTTAAATCATTTTTAAGTATTGGAAAAAAATTACTCATTATAAAAATTGTTATTTATATAAAATATTTTTAATGTAGAGAGGGGGAAAAGCATGTACCACTTGACACATCCCCTATTGCACTTTGGTGTATTTCTTGCCAGTTCTCTACCCTGTTTCCATATAATTGTTTTAAATAATTGCAGCCATATGTAGATTTATTGTTGTTGTTTTGATTAAAAAACAAACAAACAAAAAACTTTACACTATCAACAGGGCCTAGTAGCTCATGCCTATAATCCCAGCAACTCAGGAGGCTGAGGCAGGAGGATACCAAGTTCAAGGTCAGACTTTGTAAATCTCTAAGCACATACATTTCAAAACCTTGATGAAATGGATAATTTTCTAGGGAAAAACAGATTGCTAAAATTGGTAGAGATATAAAGTTTAAAAAGACCAGTTTATGTAGAAGAAATAGAGAATGTCAATAAAGACATATTCGAAGAAGAAGGAGGAAGAGGAGAAGGGCACAAGGTCTAGATTATTTTACCGAAGTCTCTCAAACCTTCAGATATGAAGTAGTTCTAATGCTTTATAATTTTTATAGAGCATTGAAAATAAAGGGAAAATTCCCAAATTTTTATGATATTGGTATTTAAACAGGATAAAGATAGTGCAAAAATGAAATTATAGACTAATTTTATTTGTAAAAACCCATGATAAAATACAAAATATATAATATTAACATAGGACTAAGATATTTTATTAACAAGAAAAATCTAACATCATATTAAAAATAAAATTCACTATAATCAGGTGGGAGTAATTCCAAGAATGCAAGATAGATTCATTATATACATATATTATTATATAACCACATTAATAGATCTCTGGAAAAATAAACATAGAATTATCTCCATAAAGGTTGAAAGATACTTGTCAAAAGTCAACATCAATTGCTCAAAAAACCTGCTCAAGAAAATAGGACTTAATGAATAGTTTCTTTTTTGGGGAGGGGTACCAAGGATTAAACTCAGGGGCATTTCGGCCACTGAGCCACATTCTGAGTCCTGTTTTGAATTTTATTTAGAGACAGGGTCTCACTGAGTTGCTTAGTGCCTTGCTTTTGCTGAGGCTGGCTTTGCACTTGAGATCCTCCTGCCTCAGCCTCCAGAGTAGCTGGGATTACAGGCACGCACCACCACACGCTGCAGTTTCTTAACTATGTTTGCATATATGCTTAGTATACATATCATATTTATCATATCATACGTATCTATCTCTATGGTTCTATCTCTGTCTCAATATTTTGTGCTAAAACTAAGTAAGTAAGTTGAGTAATACTAAGTTGAGAATTACTACAAGCATTTTTTCTAACTCCAGGAACAAGGAGAGGATGTTAGTATCTCCACTGCTGTTCAACATTATACCAGTTATAAGCAATACAATTAGACCAGTGACACTAATTAAGGGCAGAAGGCTTAGTAAAGAAGTAAAACTTACTCTTCTTTGCAGATGATATAGTAGCAAACCTACAAAACTATAGAGAATCAATAATAAACTCAATCTTAACAATAAACATAAGGTAACAGGGTATAAAATCAACATACTAAAATCAGTAGCCATCATAGACACAAGCAGTAACATAATGATAGGAAAAACTTCATTTCCAATTGTGACAAAGAAGATTAAATACTTTGAAACTAACTTACCAAGAAATGTGCTAACTTTAAAACTCTTGAAAGGTGCACTTGAACAAATGGAAAGCCCCATCCCCTGTTCTTGAGTAGAATGATTCAACATTATAAAGATTTCAGTTCTGTGTAAGTTAATTTATAAATCTAATGCAATCTTTTTTGTTAAATTGTTTTTTAGTTGTAGATGGACACAATATCTTTATTTTATGTATTTATTTTTATGTGGTGCTGAGGATTGAAACCCAGTGCCTTACATGTGCTGGGCAAATGCTCTACCACTGACCTACAACCCCAGCCCAAAGTCCATTCTTCTTCTTTTTTTTTTTCCCTGTGGTGTTAGGAATTGAACCCAAGGCCTAATGCAATCTTAATAAAAACTCCAACAAGCTATTTAAGGCAGTTAGACAAATTGATAGTAAAGTTCATTAGAAGAAATAAATATTCAAGAATAGTCAAGAAAACATTGAAAATGAAAAATTTTCAGGAGTAGTGAGCAGACATCAAAATATACTATAAATCCTCTACGATTAAAACACTGTGATGCTGGTTCATGAATAGGTGAATAGATAAATGACATGGAATAAAAAGTCCAGGTATAGACCCAAGAACTTACTGAAGTTAGTGTATAATAAAGGTGCCATCTGAAATGATTGGTTTAAGAGTGCCTTTTTCTTTTTTTCCTGAATTTAAAAAACTGTGGTAAGATACATGAAACATAAAAATTTCCATATACCTTAATCATTTAATGTGTGCAGTTCAGTAGTGTTAAGTGTATTTGCATTATTGTGAAACAGACTTTCAGAATGTTCTTGTCTTGCAAAACTGACACTCTTTACCAGTTAACACAACAACACACCAATTATCCTTCCCCACCAGCCCAACACACAGCATTCTTCTTCCTGTTGCTATGATTTTGACTACTTTAAATATCTCATCTGGAGGCTGTGGTTGTAGCTCTGTGGTAGAGTGCTTACTTAGCATGTGTGAAGGACTGGGTTTGATTCTTGGCACCACATAAAAATAAATAAATAAAATAAAGGTATTATGTTCATCTACAACTTAAAACAAAATGATACAAAACAACAAAAACCTTATCTGCTAGGGGAGGTGGTGCAGGCCTATAATTCCAACAACTCAGAGGAGACTGAGTCAGGAAGATCACAAGTTTGTCTCAAAATAAAAAATAAAAGGGCTGAGGGTGTAGGTAGGGTGCCCCTTGGTTCAATCCCCAGTATTAAACTGATGTAGGGAAGATTAATACAAGAAAGCATACAAACATTATTTAATAATTGTTACGTCAACTGGGGAACCCTCACAAGAAAAATGATGACCTAAAGTATCAGAACTAAAAGATTATATGCTGGGTTGGACAAAGAGTGGTAAATTGTGGAAATATGACAAGACAAGGGTTAAGTCTAGAGCAGTTAATTGTAGGAAAGTGATATGAAACAAGTTTACCAAAGTTTGTTACAGATTTCTCTTGGCCTTCATGCCCCATCTCCAGCAATAGAAATGTCTTCCTTCTGGCACATAGAAAGTACCTTTCTCGTGGGAGTTATTTTCTGCTTTCAGAAAGAAAAGGGAAGGTCAGAGTGCTCTTCTTGCAGTTGGTGTTTTTCAAGTGCTTTTAACACAAAATAATCAGTATGTCAAAGCGACATATTTTAGGGTGGCATGCTTGAAGCCCCACAATGTAAACATTTTGTTTATGCATTCAACCATCAGTAGAAACTTAAGCTGCTTACACCTTTTGGCTGTTGTGAGTAAAACCACTATGAACATGGGTGAACAAATATCTTTCCTAATCTCTACTTTGAGGAACCATTGTCTTTTTTTTTTAAAGTATTTTCTTAATTCTCAATGGACTTTATTTATTTATGTGCAGTGCTGAGGATTGAACCCAGTGCCTCACACAAGATAGGCAAATGCTCTACCACTGAGCCACAACCTCAGCCCATCCATTGCCTTTTAAGACAATGATGTTAGCTTTGTTTACCTATCATTAAGCATTCACTCTGTCAAGCATATGAAAGGACCACATAATAAGCCCTTTTAAAAGCAAAACCACAAATTTTTTCTCACAGTTTTTCAATATTCTATCATTTAAGTAGAACATTTCTAGTATAATTATAAGGACAAAAATGATTATGCAGGGGGCTGGAGATGTGGCTCAAGTGGTAGCACGATCGCCTGGCATGCGTGCGGCCCGGGTTCGATCCTCAGCACCACATACAAACAAAGATGTTGTGTCTGCCGAATACTAAAAAATAAATATTAAAAAAATTTACTCTCTCTCTCTAAAAAAAAAATGATTATGCAGGAAGGACAGTCATCCTGTTTATTTTACTTTATACAATTGTGAAAAATTTGAAAAAATTTAAAGTAAATGGAAAATTTAATATATATATAAGCTATGAAGATAACTATTTCGAAAAGCTTAGGAACTTGTTCTAATTTGTAAGGTGCCAAGTTTTCTATAACCTCTTAAGCTAGTCTCTTGGCTGCAGGGTAAATTTCAGAATTATCTTAAGATTCACACTGTAGGGTTTTTCTTTACCTTATGGAATGTGAGATTTTTAACAAGGGTGAGGTTTAGGAGAACATAAGTTGCTGTTGTTCCTGAGGTTCAATCCCCAGTATTAAACTGATGTAGGGAAGATTAATAGAAGAAAAGCATACAAAAAGGATATTCAAAATGCCATCTTCCCTGAATTTTAAACTTTCTGAATAATCAGGTGGTATTGGGAGTCCATGTAATCTTCTTATCTCTTCGTTTGAAATGTGGATGTGTTATTCCACCTTTAACTTTGACTGCATGCTTTTCTTACTGATACATGTTTTCCTGTTCTTTTCTCGAATTTGCAGGTACAGTCACTGGTTTGATGGAATGGCTTTGCTTCATCAGTTCAGGATGGAGAAAGGCACAGTGACATACAGGAGCAAGTTTCTACAGAGTGATACATATAAGACCAACAGTGTTGGAAATCGAATTGTGATCTCAGAATTTGGCACACTGGCTTTTCCTGATCCATGCAAAAATATTTTTGAACGTTTCTTGTCAAAGTTTGAACGGCCTGGTAAGCAGCCTTTCACATGCCCAGAATTTTGTAGGTGATAGTGACCATTATTTAAAATTATTATATTATAATCCATGCAAATATAAATTTTGAAAAACATGTTTTGTTTGGTGTGAGAGGATGTTGAAGCTATTTTCTCCCTGTAAATATATACTTAGTGTCTACTACAGTAAATTCTTAATGCTAAAATAATTCTGATGGTTGGTTTCAGCCATGACAGACAACACCAATGTCAACTATGTGCAGTACAAGGGTGATTACTACATGAGCACTGAGACCAATTTTATGAATAAAGTGGACATTGAAACTCTGGAAAAAATAGAAAAGGTAATGTATAGGTTAAAAAATGAATAAAATAGATCCGAACATTTCTTTCCATTCAAAATGCTTTTTTAGAATAGTAGGAGAAACTGGAGGCTTAATCACAAAAACAGAGTTATCCATTGATTCAGAACACATTCATCCTTTGTCCTGATTAGAATGGAGTATGGGGTTGGTTTTACTTAAAGGTAGAAAACTTAATCCTAATATCTGAAGGTTAGGGTAGAGGAGAAATAGAATATTACTGATTTACTTTGATAGGCTTATGTTCTTTCTAGCAGAATAGTATTGAACTGGAGATTGTCTAGATCCATATTTTTTTTCAAATATTTTTAAAAATATATTTTTAAAAATATAGATGGAGACAATACCTTTATTTATTATTTATTTTTATGTGGTGCTGAGGATTGAACTCAGTGCTTCACACTCTAGGCAAGCACTCTGCCACAGAGCTACAACCACAGCCTCAGATCCATATTGTTTTAACACATTGACTAAAACTTTAATTTTAATTCTTTTGCTTCTTTTGAACTTTCCCTTAATCTTGGATAAATCTATTTAGGTTATTGTTGTTGGTGGTGGGTTTTGGCTTTTAGATTCAATTTCTTTTTCTTTAGTGGGAAAACTAATTTTGATTTCTCAGAGGTAAGAAATTAGGGCTTATACTGTAGTTTTCATATATTATTTAAAAATAATTTACATGTCTCTACTACTTATGCATATCAGTAGAGATCTGTGCATGTAATATTTAAAAATCTCTAATGATCTTAAATTTGCAGGTGGATTGGAGCAAATTTATTGCTGTAAATGGAGCAACTGCACATCCTCATTATGATCCGGATGGAACAGCATACAATATGGGGAATTCCTATGGACCACAAGGTAAAGTTGGGATGGAGGTATTTTTAGAAATAATTGGGAGTTAACTGTCTTCCTCTTCTATTGTTTTATTATGGTTAAGATGTAAACACATGAAACTTCACTTGAAAGATTCAGAAGGAAATTTCCAAAGTGGCATTACTGAGCTTAAATATATGATTAAGTATCTGTTCTCTGGTCCTTTTGCACCTTTGCTTAGCAGCTGATTTTCTATTTGTCCTTTTCAGCATAACTTACATTTTTATGTTCCGTCATGACTTTGTTTTACAAGTGTTGTAGGGATTTTCAGTAAATATATCTTGAACTTGAATTTTTAAGAAGTACCATACCGTAAGTATAAGAAATTTAGAATGCTGCAGCAAGCACATATAGGGAAGGTACATCGACTATTACATAGAAAGGAATTTATTTTTGTCATGAGAATAATGTACTACAAAGAAAGTTAAAATCATAGTGGAGTTGCATTCACAATTATTTATACCACATCTCTTTCCTGGTCATTCACATGCTTTCACTATTGCATATCAATCTGTTCCAGAAATTTCTAACATTGAATAATGATCATTAATGTATATCAAGTAACTGCCATGTGACAGTGTTAAGCATTCTCCTCTATATTTTCTCATTTAATCCTTATAATGGCTTCCTGAGGAAGTGTTATCATTTTCTCCATTTTATCCATGAGGGCAATGAATCTTGAGGAAATTTAAGTCACTTGCTTAGGTAAGCTTCCATGTCTTACCAGACCTGATTCCAAGCCCAACTCACACTCAAAGGTTTGCTATTAGACCATCTCATTAGTAATCCATCACAATGGATTACTAATCCATCAGAAGATGGCATTGCTATTTTTTTTACCTAGTCACTATAACCCAGTCTTTACCTAGTCACTATTTCTTCCTTCACTTGTTAAGGAACTTTTCACCTATCTATCCATTCTCTTAGAACATGCAAACTCATGTCTCTATACATGAGTATACATATCTCTGTTTGAAAAGGAGTGTGTTAGTATAAGTACTAGATATTTCTGATTATCTTTCTATTTAGGTATCAATTAACTTACCATCTATGACCTATGAAACCTTTGTATAAGTTAATGGTATACTTTTGGTGAGTAATTGGCTTTGTGGGTTGTTCCTGTGTATTTCATATGTACACATCTGAATCTATATGAAGATGAATATGGCAGTTTTGTGTTTTACTGGCTAAAGTACAGATAGGATGCCCTGGACACCCTAGCATCCAGCTTCCACTCCTCTTCTGTAATTCCAGGAAGAGGTGAATTCTTCAGAAATGTTATAGGGAACAGCAAACATCCTTCTAGGTAAAATATTTCAGCAAATGGATATACTGATTCAGTGGTTATTTTGTCTACCTGTATTTTTTGATGAAAAGTATACTTCTTTTTTTAAATTTTTATTGTTGGTTGTTCAAAACATTACATAGTTCTTGATATATCATATTTCACACTTTGATTCAAGTGGGTTATGAACTCCCATTTTTACCCTGTATACAGATTGCAGAATCACATCAGTTACACATCCATTGATTTACATATTGCCATACTAGTGTCTGTTGTATTCTGCTGCCTTTCAAAAGTATACTTCTTAATCAACTCTGTTGATCAAGTAAATCACTTTGTAACTCATTCATATGAAAAATATTGTTGAACCATTCAGGATTACTTATGTTAGAACAAATAGTCATCAGATCTGTGATCCTCAGCCTCAGTGTGTCTAAGAATCATCTGGAATGCTTGCCAGCATTGTAGATCACTGAGTTTTGTTTATCTTCAGGTTCTGATTCAGTAGAACTGAAAGAGGGCCAGAAATTTGCATTTTTAAATATGATCCTTGGGTGATCTCTGTGTTCCTGCATCTCCCTGAGAAATCCAGCTCTAATCACAAGGGGCTGTGCCTTGTGATTACTTTGCATTGAGTTGCTGTTTACACAAACTTCTGGTGGGCCTGCCAGTTAGTCTAACAGTACTGGACAGGTCTTATCTTCTTGAGTATTCCCTCTGTTGGGTGTTTCCTGGGTGTGTTTGCCTTGACTAATGCCTTTAAAACTTGAAGTTACCACAGTTCGTTGACTAATGTGTTTAAATTCAGTGAATTGAGTAATTGCCACTTAATCCAATTACAGAGACAGGAAATGTTTCCTTTGTCTTCTAATCCCAACTAACACTGAACCTGTTTCTTTTTTCTCACTGGATTATTTGGTTTAATGAGAAGTTTTTGAACTGAAACTCAATGAACATGTAGCTCCAGGGAGCTCAACTACTTAGGTTACATTTGGGGGAAATTTAGTGATTCTCATTGTAATAAAGTGCTTGCCATTAATTTCCATCTTTTGGAAACAGAAAACTTTCAATTTTATTAGCTTTCCCAGATATTTTAAAAGCATTTTTAAAATTAACAAAATCCTTTAAACATAATTGATCTGTTTTTTAATAACTTATTTAAAATATGTCTTTCATACTAATCGGTTAAAGATAGTCAGTGCTCTTGAACCATAGAGTTTGTCTGTCATTTCTTTAATCATTGAAGCATGATGTTTTATAAATGTGTAATAGGGTCTTAAACATGTCCATATCTCCAACTGGGTCTACTCAGTAATTTATATCTAGTTGCTTAGTCAGTGATTTAAAAAAAATTTTTTTTTAGTTGTAGATGGACACAATACCTTATTTTATTTGTTTTTTAAATATGTGGTGCTAAGGATGGAACCCAGGGACTCACTCGTGCAAGGCAAGCACTCTACCACTGAGCCATAACCTCAGTCCCAGTGATCTTTTTTTTTTTTAACCAGATGTCTAATAGACATCGCAAAATTAATTTGTCGAAAACCAAACTCCTGATCTTTCCCCATGAATTTTCTCTTCTTAAAATAAGTCTTTCTCATCTCAGTTTATGGGAACTCCATTTTTATAGTTGCTCATGACAATAACTTAGGAGTCATCCTTCACATATCTCTCTGACATCCATATTTAATTGATTAAAAAGTAATTTCATCTATGCCTTCAATATGTCTCCAAAGTTTAACCATGTCATACCACTCCATGGCTGCCAGTCTATTTCAAGTCACCATCTTCTTTAATTTAAAATGATTGCAGAAGCCTATTAGTTTCCTTACTGCTGCTCTTGGTGCACTTTAGTGTATAAGCATCCAGAGTAGTCCTTTTTAAGCCACTCCCACCTCTCTGGCCTCATCTCTTAGACTCTCCTCCTTATGATAGAACCACTCTGGTCTCAGCTATTATTTGAACACTCCAAATTTGCTCCTGGCTGAGAATCTTTGCATTTGCTTTTCCCTCTGTCTGGAATGAGTTTCTCTCAGATAAACCTCAAGGCTGTCTTCTTCATTTCCTTCAGGTCTTTATTTATATGCCACTTACTCAGTGAAGCCTTCCCAGACTACTAGATTTAAAAGTGCAAACAGTAGCCCTACCCTTAGACAGTCACTACTGATCACCATTCCCTGGCTTATTTTCTATTTTACTTATTACCACCTGATGCATTGTACTTTTTACTTATACGATTTATTAGAATTTAAGCTTTATAAAAGAAGAGATTTTTACACTATTATATACAAATCCCTGGGATATAATGCTTAGAACATTTAGCACAGTGTCTGGAGTTTAGAAGTACTCATTATGTAATTACAGAATAAGCAGATCAAGAACTACCTAGTTATTTTGTTCCAAAAGAAGACTGAAGATTGCAAAATTCTATGTTACCCAAGTTTATCATGACCCACACTGGCAATTCTAATACCAAGATAAAAATTTTTAAATATCATCCAAATAGTTATTCATTCTTTGACTGATTTATCAAATATGATGTTAATTAATCTATCAATAACTATTTATAGTTTGCCTACTAATTGCCAAGTCCTTGACAAGGGTAAGGTTTTTTTTTTTTTTCCTTATTATTCTAAAATGTATGTAAACAGTAAAGACAGGTCTGTTTTCCAGGTTCCTGCTATAATATTATTCGGGTTCCTCCAGAGAAGGTGGACCTTGGGGAAACAATACATGGAGCCCAGGTGATATGTTCTATTTCTTCTGAAGAGAAAATGAAACCTTCTTACTACCACAGCTTTGGTGAGTCCAGAGAGGAGGCAAATTGCACTGGGCCCTGTTTTGGCAAGTGCTGTGTTAATAGTTTGTTAAGAGTGTTGTGATAATACTAGGTTTGCATTTTTTTTTAAATTTTTTATTGTTGGCTGTTCAAAACATTACATAGTTCTTGATATATCATATTTCACAATTTGATTCAAGTGGGTTATGAGCTCCCATTTTTACCCCATATACAGATTGCAGAATCACATCAGTTACACATCCATTGATTTACATATTGCCATACTAGTGTCTGTTGTGTTCTGCTGCCTTTCCTATCCTCTACTATCCCCCTAGGTTTGCATTTTAATACCAGCAAGTTCATCTTATTTAGTCAAGCACTTCTTATGCTAGAAGAAGTGCTTGACTAAATAAAATGAACTTAGCTAACTGCTAGCTTTCTAACTTCAGTGCAAGAAATTACCAAAAAGTTAAGTGACAGTTCACAGTTTTGGCAACTTTAAAGCCCACAAGTAATCATCATACATGAAAAGGTCTAGACTATATATTTTGGGGCAAATTCATATTCTACACAGATTCCTTCAACTTCTATTCAGAATATTTATTTTCTGTATTTTAAATAGTTCTGGCCATGCTCCTAGGTGTATATATACCCCCAGTATAAATAGAAAAGGAATAAGGATAAATGTACAGGTCATAAATGACACTTTACTTTGTTCATAAACCAAAATAGTCTAAATATAAAAAAGATGTCAGATAAGCTGAGGACATTCAACCCAAGCTATTCTAAGCAGTTCCCCTTTTTATGTAGGAACAGGAAATATGTCTAGCAAAGCTGGGAAATAGTGAAGAAGTATTTCTGGCTGTCGTTTGTTTAGGTCAGCAATAATATGTCCAGGCACTGGTTCTGTAACTGTCACATTTCATACGATTCCAGTTTGCTAAATAATATTTTATTGTTTGATGGAACCTTTTAGGAATGACAAAGAACTATATAATCTTCATCGAACAGCCTCTAAAGATGAACCTGTGGAAAATTGTCACTTCTAAAATTCGAGGAAAGGCCTTTTCAGATGGGATAAGCTGGGAACCTCAGTATAATACCCGATTTTATGTGGTGGATAAACACACTGGACAGGTGGAGTATTTTGAGAATATTTATCATGAAAATGGTTGGACTCAAATGTGAATTTCCTTGTGGTTGATTTTTTTTAAATCGTCACCAGCATTATTTAAGACACCCTTAATCAAGAATATCACCTTCTTTTGTTGGTTGGGCTAGTTATTAATTACTACAGTGTATTTACATATTGGAAAATTATAGAAAATGTTTTTATTCTTTTAATTATCTGATTCAATTAAAATGGCATCTAGGAAACTCTCTTATCATGGATTTCCCTATCATAGTAGTTGCGAAAGAGAATAGTACTCATGAGAGATCCTCTGTAACTTTTGCAGTGATACTTCCATTAGTTCCTTCTGTGACTTATCAACATGTCAATATGATAACCCCACCAAAGTCCAACCCATGTTAGTTGAATATCTTTTTATACTCCTGATTAATAACAGTGCTGTTACATTTTAACCTTTCCAAGTAGTACTATTCTAATTTTGCTCTACCTGAATTTCATTAAAAATTTTAATAATGAGTGCATTACTTTGAAAAATAATTAATTAATTCTTTGAAAAAAATTAGTTAATTAGTTAATAGGTTTACGAAGTAGTAGTATTTTCTATTTAACTATGTAGTTAAGAATTTATTTATCCTTTAAAACATTGGACCATATTTCATGAGGACTTTCTAATTAGTTGTTGCAGTTGACTGTTCTATATCAAATAATTAAGCAAGCAATTAAATTAAAGCACATTTGTTTCTACATTATGGATTCTACTTTTGTAACTACTGGGTGTACAATATAAGGAGTAGGGGTATCCTTAATTTGAATTTTGTGGATCTGTTCCCTAAAGGAAAGAAAAGAAAATGTTAAACCAACCAACCAACCTCAGTTTGTGTTTTCCCCTGCAGCTTCTTCCAGGGATGTACTACAGCAAACCTTTTATTACTTTTCATCAAATCAATGCCTTTGAGGATGAGGGCTGTATTATAATTGATATGTGCTGTCAAGATAATGGAAGAAACCTAGATATTTACCAACTACAGAATCTCAGGAAATCTGGGGAAGGGCTCGATCAGGTAAACATCACTGATTTGTCAGTTGGCAGGATAGCTGTGATGCAGTCAAAATCTGGCTTTGGCTTTGGAATTATCTGTTTCCCTTGCCCTCTTGTAGCAAACAAGGAGGGAGAGTAGTTTTAGAGCATTGAAGATACAGGTTTGTCATTTGTTTATTTAATATTAAAAAATAATTTGAAGTAGCTTACTTAATGCTTAGTAAATAGAAAACATGGTAAAGACAGCTAAGATAGGTGCTGTGAAGCCGTTGTGAGTAGTTCTATATTACATTTAAGCACTGAATATATTGAACATTTGCTGGAAGGATATTAAAATGGACCACCAGTGTATTAGTTCATCTGGCTGAAGAGATTCACTTTTTCCTGATACTAAATACAAGGTAAAACTTGCTCTTGTATTATATAATATAAATTTGCTTTGTCTTTAGTTTTACTTTTCATTTATAGTTTTATTTTAAAATATCTTAAAACAGTACCTATTAATAAGTTTACCTATACTTCCTAACTATTTATAGCTTTATGTAGGTTCTGATATCTGTAGTTTAAGTTTTTTGGCTGTTTTCATTTTTAAAATTGCCTGTGTTTTTCTTAGCTCTCTGTATACCCATAAATTTTCAAATCAATTCGTCAGTTTTTGCAAAGGAAAAAAACCTGACTGGGATCATTGCAAGTATATGTCAACTTGAGGATGACTGTTATCTTTACAGTGTTGAGTCTTCTAATCCATGAATGTGGAATATTCCTCCATTTATTGGGGTCCTGTTTAATTTCTCTCAGTAATGTTGTACTTTTCATTATAAGCATATTACATATCTTGTTGTTTTTTTGGGAATGGCTTACTTTACTTAGCATTATATTCTCCTACTCCATCCATTTACCTGCAAATGCCATGATTTTATTCTTTTTGAATGCTGAGTAGTATTCCATTGTGTATATATACCACAGTTTCTTTATCCATTCATCTACTGAAGGGCAACTAGGTTGGTTCCACATTTAGCTATTGTGAATTGTGCTGCTATAAACATTGATGTGGCTGCATCCCTATTGTATTTCATTGCTTGAAATTGATCTGTTTAACTTGTGTATATCATCCTGATTCAGTTTGGGCAAATCATATGACTCTGAAATTTGTCAATGCCTTCAATATTTTCTGTTTTATTGGAGTACAAATTTCCAAAATAATTTCTAATTATCTTCTGTATTTCTATAGTGTCTGGTGTGATATTTCATTTTTCATCATGTATGTTAGTAATTTGAGTTTTCTCTCTCCTGTTTGTTAGCATGGCTAAGGGTTTATTAATTTTATTTATTATTTTCAAAGAACCAACTTTTTGATTTGTCATTTTTTTTCAATTGTTTCTTTTGTTTCCATTTCATTGATTTCATTTATTTCCTGTCTTCTACTGCTTTTGATGTTGATTTGTTCTTCTTTTTCTACGGCTTTGAGATGTAGTGTTAGGTCATTTATTTGTTGACTTTTTCTTCTTTTAAGGAATGAGCTCTATGCAATGCACCTTCCTCTTAGTACTGCCTTCATAGTGTCCTAGAGATTTCAATATGTTGTATCAGTGTTCTCATTTACCTCTAAGAATTTTTTAATCTCCTCTTTGATGCTTTTTGCAACCCATTGTTCATTTAATTACATATTATTTAGTCTCCAGGTATTGGAGTAGCTTCTATTTTTTATTTTATCATTGATTTATAGTTTCATTCCATTATGATCTGATAGAATGCAGTGTAGTATCTCTATCTCTCTATCTCTCTCTTTTTTGTATTTGCTGAGACTTGCTTTGTGGCATAGTATATGGTCTATTTTAGAGAAGGATCCATGTGCTGCTGAGAAGAAAGTGTATTCTCTTGTTGAAAGATGAAATATTCTATATATGTCAGTTAAGTCTAAGTTATTTATTGTGTTATTGAGTTCTATATTTTCTTTGTTTAGCTTTTGTTTAGAAGATCTATCCAGTGGTGAAAGAGGTGTGTTAAAGTCACCCAGGATAATTGTGTTGTTGTCTATTTGACTCTTGAACTTGAGAAGAGTTTGATAAATGGAGATGCTCCATTGTTTGGGACATATATACATATATTTATAATCGTTATGTCTTGTTGATGTATGGTTCGCTTAAGCAGTATAAAATGTCCTTCTTTATCCCCTTTGATTAACTTTGGCTTGAGGTCTACTTTATTTGATATGAGTATGGAAACACCTGCTTGTTTCCATAGTCCATGTGAGTGGTATGTTTTTTCCTAACCTTTCACCTTCAGTCTGTGCGTGTCTTTTTCCTATGAGCTGAGTCTCTTTAAGGCAGCATATATACATATTTTAAATCCAATCTGCCAGTCCATGTCTTTTGATTGGTGAGTTTAGGCCATTAATGTTCAGGGTTATTATTGAGACATGATTTGTTTTCCTGGTAATTTTTGTTTATTTTTGGTATTTAACTTGACTTGGTTTCTCCTTTGTTTGGTTTTTCCTTTAGTATAAAGGAAAAAAAAAATGCACCCCAAGGATCTCCTTTGGAGCTGGCTTGTGTGATGTGGGCCTGTGGTCTTATCTCTTTATATTGTCTGTAAACCTCACAATTCCTAGTCCCTAATTTAGTTTCTAAACTGTATCTCACTCACCCCTTCCATTTCTACTTACCAATAAGGAACCTTTCTCTCTGGAGTCTTGTGGGCTACGCACCTGTCAGAGAGCAGTTGGTCAGGACCAGGTTTTGCGAGATATGGACTGGCTACATAGCCGCAATTACTGTGCCAGGTTAGCTGTCTGGAAGAGGAGGGAGTTGGGGATTTTAAGTACCTTGATATTGCTTCTAAGCCCCAGCCAGTGTTCCAAGCTGGGGGTTGCCCCAACTAAAGATGGTGACGAAGGTGTCCCAAGATGGAGGCGGCTGCTTTCACCCATGGGTGCCAGGTTGGGTGGGGCTGGGTGGTGGCAATGTACCGTGTGTTCAGAGATGCAGCTCTGTGGCATGTAGTGTTGTGGCTGGCAGCTGTCTCCGGACCCTGTGCAGTGTCCCCAGGTGCAGGCTACTGCATGTAGGGGTCTATGGTTGTGGTTGCTGTGTCCCAAGATGGAGGCCACAGGCAGAGCCCCACATTGGTAGATGGGCTTCCACATGGGAACTGTAGCCAGCAATCCTTCATGTGGGCAGCAGTCAGGAGTCTTGCGCAGGCGCTGATGCTGATGGTCCTTCTTGGGTACCAGGAGGTCCTACGTGGGAGAGTGGACAGGAGTCCTGTGCTGGCACTGCAGCCATGATTCCTCAATGGAGGAGCTCTCAGGGGTCCACTAATCACTTGCAGAGAAACAGTATTCCTACTACTTGAATCCCAGGTCACAGAGTGACACAGAATGCAGCCTCTCTCTAGTCTGCCATCTTGAATCCTCCTCAGCAACTGATTTTTATTCATCTTGTAGTCAATAATGTAAGGGTCTTATAAATTCTAAAAATCCATAGATTCTTTTAGATTTTCCATATCACTATCTTTATCATATGCAAAAAAGACATTTTCTTTTCTTCCTTTCTAAACTGTTTATTTGATCTTTTCTTTTCCTTGTCTTATGTCACTGGATCTCCAGTACATTATTGAATGTAAGTGGTGATAGTGATGTCCTTGTCTGAGTCCCAATCTCAGAGGAAAAGCTTTCAGCATTTTATCATTAAGCATGCTGTTTACTGTATATTAAAATAAGTTAATAGATTTATGTTTTAGAGAAGTTTTAGGTTTAAAGAAAAAATTAAGAAGAAAATATAGAGAGTTTCCATATATTCCCTCTCCAACCAGTCCCCCCAGCTACTAACATCTTGCATTGTTATGGTACATTTGACAAAACTGATGAACCAATACCGATTATTACTAGCAAGTCCATAATTTACATTGGAGCTCACTCTTTGTCTTAACTAATCTTTTTGCTATATCTATAGTTTTGTCTATTCCAAAATATCATATAGATGGAATCATATTATCTATAAGCTTTTCAGACTGACTTGTTTTAGCAATATGCATTTAAGGTTCCTCCATGTCTTTTTATGTCTTGATAGCTCATTTCTTTTTATAATTGAGTAATATTCTCTTGTACTAAAGTTGAGTATCCATTCCTCTACAGAACATCTTGTTTGCTTATAATTTTCAGTGATTGTGAATAAAGCTGTTATAAACATTTGTGTGCAGGTTGTGCATGAACATAAATTATTAATAAATTTTAAAATGAAGACACACTTTATTGGATTAGGAAAGTATCCTTTTATTCCTATATTATTAAGAATTTTATCATGGATGGATATTGGATATCATCAAAAGTTTTTCTGCACTGCTGAGATAATAACATAAATTTTATCCTTTATCCCATTAATGTGGTAAAGTGGAATGATTCTTTTTTATTTTTAATTTTTAGGTGTAGTTGGACACAATGACTTTATTTTATTTATTTATTTTTATGTGATGCTGAGGATCAAACCCAGGGCCTCACACATGCTGGGCTAGTGCTCTACTGCTGAGCTACAACCCCAGCCCACAATGATTGATTCTTAAGGAATGTTTAGAACAGTCATTGATTGAATTTTGAATTTTACTTCCATTCCTAAAGTAAATTCCAGTTGGTTGCATGGTATTTGCTTTTTTTTTTTTTTTTTGTATTTTCTTTTTAATGCATTGGTAGATTTGCATTGCTAATATTTAAATATTGCTAATAATTTACATGTGTTCATGAATAAAATTGACTTGTAATTTTTTTCTATAATGCCCTTATAAGGTATGGGTTTCAAGGTTTTGCTGATCTCAGACAAGTTGGAAATTTTTCTTTCTTTTTCTTCTTTCTGGTGAGATTATATAGAATTGGCATTATTTCTTAAATTTTTTGTAATAATTTAATAGTAAAGCCTTTTGGGCCTGTGAATTTCTCCACAGATAAACCTTAAATTATGAATTCTATTTTTAATGGTATAGGATTATTCCAATTCTCTGTTTCTTATTGTGTCAGATTTGGTAAATTGTGTTTTTGTAGAAATTAATCCATGTCATCTAAAACTTCAATTTTATTGGTAGAAGTTACCTATACTATGATCATCTGGTATTTTTTAGATGCATGTAGTCAATTGATGGGCTGCCCTACCCCTTCTCACATTTTTTTTTTTTTTATTCCTAATATGGTTGTTTTCATTGTCTGTCTTGTTTGTTTAGCTTGTCAGGATCTAATTGATTTAATAAGGCTTTTCCAAAAGATCATCTTTGTGATTTTGTTGATATTCTTTAATGTGTGTGCGTATGTTTTCAATTTTACCATTTTTTTCTCTTATTATTTTCTTTTCTGCTTTCATCATGCTGATGTGCTACAGTTATTTTAACTTAGTTTGTTGTTTTTCATCTTTTTTCCTTCTAGCTTAAACTTTTGCTGTTGTAAATTTTTCTCTAAGAGAGCTTTAGCTGCACGCCACAAGTTTTGATGTATTTTATTATTTTTTAAATTTTAAGTTAAAGCATTTTCTGATTTTCACTGACTTTTCTTCTTTGAAATACATACCTTTATTTCTTTCTAAAAAATTTTATTTGTCCTTTTTAGAAATACCTGACCGTAGAGTATATTTTGACTTATTTATACAAACATGAAGTATTTCTTTATTTCTTATTCTCAAACATACAGGGATTTTTCTAGGTTGTTTTTGTCACTGATTTCTAGTTTAATTTTACTGTATGATTTTAATACTTTGCAATGTATTGAGATTTGCTTTAAGAGCCAAAGTAAGTTCATTTAAAAAATGTACCATCTTAGGGGCTGGAGCTGTAGATCAATGATAGAGCACCTCCCTCGCCAGTGTGAGGCACTGGATTTGATTTTCAGCATCACATAAAAATAAATAAATACAGATATTGTGTCCATCTACAACTAAAAAAATGCCATATTAAAAATATGCATCTTAAAAGGAGATATATTCTGTATTTTGGATGTAATTTTCATGTTTGTCAATTGGATAACATTGGCTAATAATATTCAAATGTTCTCTGTCCTTATTGATTTCTGATCTATTGGTTATTAAAAGATATATTTTAAAATATCATATAGATTTTTTTGTTTAATCCATATAGTCCTTCTAATTTTTGCTTTAACATATTTGGTGCTCTGTTATTATGTGCATATGAATTTAGAATTGTTTTACTTTTCTAGTTTGTTGAATATTTACCTCTGAACAATGTTTTTTGTCTTAAAATTTACTTTTTACTTGCTGTTTGCGGGCTATAACTTTTCTATCCTTTTACTTTTAATCTTTCAAAATTTGTATTTGTAAGCAGCATGTATTTTAAAAATCCACTGTGGTAATTCCTTACTTTTAATTGAGCCATTTAGTTGAATCAAGCACTAATATATCAGGGTTTAAATATGTCATCTTGTGATTTGTTTCTTATTTGTATAATGATTCTTTTTCTCCTCTTTTTTCACCTTCTCTACATTTTATTTTTTAATTTGCCTCTCCACTCCCCCAAACCTTGCCCATTACTTTGGTAGTTTTACGTTCTTTGAGCAATTATTTTAGAGACTTAAATATATAAGCAATTATTAAAATACATTGTAAATTGGTCTTTTTACTTCTTGTCAGACAATGCAAGGACTCTGCAGTACTTTAAGTCCCTTTGTTTACTCCTGGCTTATATTCTACTCTACTTGTACATTTTAATTCTCTCTCTTTTTTAAATACTAAAAGGCATTATTATTATCATTTCCTTATGTAATCATAATTATCCATACTACCCCTTTTGACCTCATTTATACCTTTTTTATTGCTTTTAATTCTTCCTACTTTCAGACATTTCTATCTGGAAACATGTTCTTCTAACTAAAGAACATCCTTTGGTAATTGTTCTATTTCAGATATGCTCGTACATGAATCTGCATATTTTACATACATACATCCTTTTGTGTATGACTTATTTTACATACATAATATTTTCAAAATTTATTCATATTGTAGCATGTATCAGAATTTTGTCCCTTTTTTAGGTTGAATATTTTTCTGTTTGATTCTGCATTTTGCTATCTGTTCATCTATTGATGGATATTTATTTGTCAGAAAACATGTATTTTTGTTCCTTCTTGGAAGAATGTTTTTATGGATAAAGAACTCTAATTTGTTAGTTCTTTTCTTTTCTTTTTAAAAAAATTTTTCTTTTAATAATTTTTTAGTTGTCAATAGACCTTTATTTTATTCATTTATATGTGGTGCTGAGAATTGGACCCAGGGCCTCACATGTGCTAGGCAAGTGCTGTACCACTGAGCCACAACCCCAGCCCTGTTGTTAATTATTTTCTTTGAACCCTTTTAAGATATCATTTTATTGTCTTCTGATTCCTGTTGAGAAATCATTTGTTAATCTAATCTTTGTTTCTTTGAGTTTATCTTTTTCTCTCCTCTGGCTGCTTTAAAATTTTTCTCTCTGTTTTTTAAAAAGCTATAATATCTTAAATGCTTTCCTTTTAATTTTTTCACTTGGATTTTTAAGGATTCTTGAATATATTGTCTGATGTCTTTCTATAATTTTGAAACATTTCACCCATTAGTTCTTCAAATATTGCATATGGTAATATTTGTACTGCGAGCAATGAGTATTCCCATGTCTGGCAGCTGTAACTCAACTTTATAGCTGAAGCTTTATTCTTATTCCTGGAATACAGATCTATGAGGTCCCACTTCAAAGAACTGGAAGTTTGCCTCAGGGATATTATGAAGACACTACCATTTTCTCCTTTTTAGGGGGACTACAGTACACTTACATTAGTACTTTTCACCCTATCCTTCTGTCATTTTATTCCTATTAGTATTTTCTATCCTTGTTTCTTTCTAAGCATTTTCTTGGGGGGTTATTTTTTTCTACTGCCTTAGTATCTAAAAATTCTTTCTTCATCTGTGCATTTTTGGCCATTAAACCTAATCACTAAATTTTTAAGTTAATTGCATCTGGGAGTGGTCATGTAGGAATATAACCCCTACAGGACAAATCTTAGTTACTAAAGTTCCAGACTGCCAGGAGAATTCAGGTGTTTGTTTTAGTTACATTGTTAGCATAAAATACCTGTGTGATTCAAGGCTTCACACACACACACACACACACACACACACACACACACCATTCCAAGAACTCAGCTCCCAGGACTCAGCCAAGGGTTAGTCATGAAAACAGGCATTTCTCAACAATATGCAGGGGTTGAGCAATCCAGGCCTGTAGGTTGATCCTTTACTTCACAACCAATCTGAAGTAGAGAGCACCTCTCCTTGCTATTTAGTCCTGCAGACCTCTGGCTTTAATCATTTGGTCATCTGAAGCCAATTAAATAACATATATTGTATAATTTTAATATTTATTATTATTCTGCTACTAGAATAAGTTGCATGAAGCCAAAGACTTTGCTTTGTTCACTGCATATCCCCAGTGTCTAAAATAGTAATTAACCTATGGTAGATAGTCAACAAATATTTGTTGAATGAATGAATGGAAATTATTGTTTATATAATTACTTAAGAATGCCAATAATGTTGACTGCATCCAAATTATTGGGGTGTGCTGTAATCCTATTATGTATGACAATTTTTCATCTGTTTATTTCTGTCTCCTCAACAGGTCTATAATTCGGTAGCCCTATCTTTCCCTCGAAGGTTTGTGTTGCCCTTACATATCAGTGAGAATGACCCTGCAGGAGAGAACCTCAGTCCATTGTCCTATTCTTCAGCCAGTGCTGTGAAACAGAGTGATGGGAAGGTATGCTATGAATGGACAGTGGACTAAAACTTTGACTTCAGTGGTGTTACTTTAGTCTTTGGCTCTTCTCCAGAATGTTTTTGGTGCCCAATAGGTTTTATAACATTTAGCTGAGCAGGGTAAGGTCATGAAACCTTGCTTACAAAAGAATCATAGAAACTGAGTAGGAATGAACACTGTGTTGACTATCCTTTTTGTGTTTTGAAACAGATATATAAACTTTCTAATTGTTGTGCATTGTCTAATCATTTGAGATTATCATTGACCATCTCACCTTCTAGATGAGTTGCACTTACCACAGACATATCAATGTGCAGCCATCAATGTCTTTAGTGGAATAAAAAGCTACTTCCGTCTCCCATGTCACTTGACAACTTATTCACAAAATCTGATAATGTTCTATGCAGTCATGATGGAAAGAGTAACAATATAAAAATGATATGTCACTGACCTACACTAAAGAAAATAAATGACAATTAAACAACCACTTCAGATCCTTTTGGGACCTCTTTTAGATCTGGTGCTCTCATGAAAATCTACATCATGAGGACCTAGAGGAAGAAGGAGGCATTGAATTTCCTCAGATCAACTATGGCCAGTTCAGTGGCAAAAAGTATAATTTCTTCTATGGCTGTGGCTTTCGGCATTTGGTGGGGGATTCTCTGATGAAGGTTGATGTGGTAAACAAGTCACTGAAGGTAACAAAAACCTTTATCTTTTTCTGAAATTTTCATAGACCTTTTCTGTCCTTAGAATTAGTTTGCTTTGCTTAAGGTCATTCTTGATAGTTTAATATTTAAACAGCTAAACCATTTTCTTTTCCTAAGTTTGAGAACCATGGAATCATCTGGGATGCGGGTATGGGGCTGGGGTTGTGGCTCAGTGTAAGAGCATATGTGAGGCACTGGGTTCGATTCTCAACACAACATATAAATAAATAAATAAATAAATAAATAAAGGACCATTGATAACTAAAAAATATTAAAAAAAAGAAAAGTGAATATGTTTCCTTTAGGAAATCTAAATGAACACCAAACCCAGAAAAACCAATTCTATGTTTGATGTTATTGTAGGAGAATATGTGAGGTTGAGGTTGTTGGAAAAATATTTCAGGTTGATGGGAAATTATAATCACACAAATAATGTTTGATGGTGATGGAATCTGGGGCTGCCAAAGCTTCCCAATCCTCTCCTGTATTCAACTCAGCCTGATTTTTTTTATTGTTGCAATATTCTATCAACAGCCACTTCATACTGGGAGTAACAGAAGCTATAGAAAGCTTCCCACCATGAATGGCCTTTTATAAAATACTTTTTTTGGACTTTGCAGGTTTGGAGAGAAGATGGCTTTTATCCCTCAGAACCTATTTTTGTTCCAGTACCAGGAGCTAAAGAAGAAGATGATGGAGTTATTCTTTCTGTGGTGATCACTCCCAAGCAGGTAATATATTTCCCTAACACCAGTCAGAAAAAAAGTAGCATTGAGTTGTTTGAGGATGATATTGAATGATGCAGTCCATAGTTTATTTTGATTCCTATATGGCACCATCTTCCTTTTCTTCCCCTTCTTACCTTTGACCAATCCTTTTATCAAGGTCTATACTTTATTATTGTTTTAAAGTTCTATTTGTAGAATCATAATAATAACTCACATTTGCATAGGAATTTGTTATTTACAAAGTATTTTTTTGGGAGGGTACTGGGGATTGAACTCAGGGGCATTTGACCACTGAGCCTCATCCCCAGCCCTGTTTTGTATTTTATTTAGAGACAAAGTCTCACTGAGTTGCTTAGGGCCTCACTTTTGCTGAGGCTGGCTTTGAACTCTCAAGCCACTGGGATTACAGGTGTGCACTACAAAGTACTTTAATCATAGTATCTTAGTTATCAAAGCAACTTTTTGGGATTCCACTTTAAAAATATGGAATTTATAGCTTAAAGTAGTTGAAGGAGACTTGTAGCAGATCTCCTAGTGGTAAAGCCAGTATGTAAGTCTACTGGCTTCTTGTCTAATATTTATATAATTTTTATGTTGCCAGTTATGTTGCCAATTATCTATATTGCCAGTTTCAAAGTCCTGACCTCAAAGTCCAATATCCTAAGCCCTGGCATAGTATCTCAATACTGTTATTTACTGAATGACTTCCTTGTCAGGGGCAATATAATGGCAAATAGGTTCACTTTGAGTACCAGCTTTGATCATTTATTAGTGGCTGCCTGGGGTATAGGATTCTTGGCCATTAAATGGTTTGGTGGAAAAATACTGTGATTAATTAGTAATGTGTGCCAAGGGTTTGGTCCTCATGCCATACATGTGGCACTCATGTAATTAGATAAGGGCAATCTCAGTCTGCTTTGCAATGCTGCTCTTTGAACAGCTCTAAAGTAACACAAAAATTGAGGCATTTCTAGTTCAGAAGAAAAAATTTCTGTGTCTCTTAGGGGATTGGAAAGGGCCAGGTAAAATGACTGTTAGATTCAAAGAGATCCTATGAAGGTGACTGATGTAAAGAATTTAATTTGCTTTAAATGTAAAAATACTCAGCCACAATTTTATTTTCAGTCGAGTTCAGCAATTCAGCAAACATTTAGTGAGTGAATAGGTGAGGCATTGTACTAGATGCTGATGCTAGATAAATAAAGTGAATAAGACATGGTCTCTTTCTTAGGAACTTTATCACCCAGAGGAGATAGACTGATTTTTGAAGGGAATGTTCATATTGTCTTTCCTTTTCTAGAATGAAAACAATTTTCTCCTTGTCTTGGATGCCAGGAACTTTGAAGAACTAGGCCGAGCAGAGGTACCTGTGCAAATGCCTTATGGGTTCCACGGCACATTTGTACCTATCTGATGGGATAACTTCAAGGTCTGGGAACTAGATTTAAAGTGAATGTACTCTGTGGAAAAGAGAGAAGAAGGCATCTTACTTCCCAAACCACAGACTTTGGTTTTAAGTTTCCTATTAAAAACAGAATTTGTAAGAAAATTATGGTTTTATATTTTCTTAGGGATTGTCCTTGAAATCATTAAGCAAGGGTAATATAGCCTTTTGAGAAGAGTTTTAAATATACATTTATTGGATATATTTCCCTCTAGCTAATAATAAGAATACATGAAAGAAAACTAAAATGGAGTCCTTGCCACCATCAGATAGGTGGATGAGGTATGTTCAGTAGTACATTATAAAAGTCATTGTAAAGGCTATCTATGCTAAGCCCAAGGCCAACATTATTCTAAATGGAAAAAAAATTGAAAGCATTCCCTCTAAAAACTGGAACAAGATATGGATGCCCTCTTTTACCACTTCTATTCAACATAGTCCTTGAAACTCTAGCAGAACAATTAGATGAAAGAAATTGAAGGATTATGAATAGGAAAAAAAGAACTCAAACTATCACTATTTGCCAATGACATGGTTCTATATTTAGAAGATCCAAAAAATTCGACCAGAAAACTTCTAGAACTAATAAATGAATTCAGCAAAGTAGCAGGATAGAAAATCAGTACCGATAAATCAAATGCATTTCTATACATCAGTGATGAATCAACTGAAAGAGAAATTGGGAAAACTACCCCATTCACAATAGCCTCAAAAAATACTTGGGGATTATTCTAACAAAAGAGGTGAAAGACCTCTACAATGAAAACTACAGAACACTAACGAAAAATTGAAGAACTTAGAAGATGGAAAGGTCTCCTATGTTCTTGAACAGGCATAATTAATATTGTCAAAATGGCCATACCACCAAAAGAGCTACACAGATTTAGTGCAATTCCTATGAAAGTTCTGATGACATTCTTCCTTTTTTTCTAAAATTTTAGTTGTAGATGGACACAATACCTTTATTTTATTTATTTATGTGGTGGTGAGGATTGAACCCAGTGCCCATGCATGAAAGGCAAGCGCTCTACCACAGAGCTACAACCCCACCCATGATAACATTCTTCTTAGAAATAGAAAAAATAGTCATGAAATTCCTTTAGAAAAATAAGAGGCCCAGAATAGCCAAAGCAATCCTCAGGAAGAATAATAAAGCAGGAGGCATCACAATACCAGAGCTTAAACTATACTACAGAGCAATAGTAACAAAAATGGCCTGGTATTGGCACTAAAATAGACATGTAGACCAATGGTACAGAATAGAATACACAGAGACAAATCCACATAAATATGGTTTTCTCAAACTAGGCCAAAATGCCAAAAACATACATTGGAGAAAAATAGCCTCTTCAATAAATGGTGCTAGGAAAATTGGAAATGCACATATAGCAAAATGAAATTAAAACTCTGTCTCTCACCCTGCACAAAACTCAAAGTGGATCAAAGACTATGACACTAGAACAGAGACCCTGCCCTAACAGAAGAAAAAGTAGGCCCAAATCTTTATCCTTAACAAGAGTCCTTAAAGTTCAAAAAGTAAAATCAAGAATCAATTCCTGGGGATTGCGGTTGTGGCTCAGCAGTAGAGCACTCGCCTAGCACGTGCAAGGACCTAGGTTTGATCCTCAGCACCACATAAAAATAAATAAAGGTACTATGTACAACTAAAAAATAAATATTTTTTTAAAAAAAGAATCAATTACTGGGATGGATTCAAACTAAAAAGCTTCTTCTCAGCAAAGGAAATAATCAATAATGTGAAGAGAGAGCCTACAAAATTAGAAAAAATCTTTACCACATGCATCTCAGATGGAGCATCAATCTCCAAGATATATAAAGAACTCAGAAAATTTAACAACAATAAAAACCAAATAACCCAATGAATAAATGGGCTAAGGAACTAAATAGATACTTCACAGAAGAAGAAATAAAATTGATCAACAAATAAAAAATGAAAAAATGTTCAACATCTCTAGAAATTAGAGAAATGCAAATCAAAACTACTCTAAGATTTCATCTCCAGTCAGAATGACAATTATCAAGAATACAAGCAATAATGTGGTTGTGCAACCACCCTGGAAAGCAGTATGAAGATTCCTTGGAAAACTTGGAATGGAACCACCATTTGACCCAGTCCTAGGTTTATATCCAAAGCTCTTAAAATCAGCATACTACAGTGACACAACCACATCAATGTTTATAGCAGCTCAATTCACAATAGCTAAGCTATGGAACCAACCTAGGTGCCTTCAACAGACGAATGGATAAAGAAAATGTGGTACATATACACAATGGAATATTACTCAGTCTTAAAGAAGAATGATATTATGGCATTTGCAGGTAAACGGATGGAGTTGGAGAATATCATGCTAAGCGAAATAAGCTAACATTTCCAAACCAAGGCTGAATGTTTTCTCTGATAAGTGGTTGCTGATTCATAATTGGGGGGTGGTGGTGGTAGGGAAGAATGGAGGAACTTTGGATTGGGCAGAATAGGGTGAGGGGAGGGGAGGAGGTATGGGGGTAGGAATGATAGTAGAATTAATTGGACATTATTAAGGTATATGTGTATATGATTACATCATCTTTGTAATTCTACATCATGTACAACCATAAGAGTGAGAAGTTATACTCCATTTATGTATGATGTATCAAAATGCATTCCACTGTCATGTATAACTACTTAGAAAAAATAAAAATTAAAAAAATATAGGTGGATGACAGAGGTCCTGTGAGAATTATAAGTGATCATAGATAGTAGGCTTAGATCCAGATCTGAAAAGCACCTTGTTCTCTCCATCACAACCAGCCTGTTATCATTGTCTAAGGTATGGATAGCAGGAAGCTAGCCCATTCATGCTTGGAGGCCTTCTCTAAACTGGCTCTTTCTCTGCTGTCCACTGCAGATGCTACTGTAATTGTTGACCCTCCTGCAGACTACCTTCTCTCATCCCCACCTTTTCCCAGCTCAGCCTTTGGAGGTGGTTGTTATGACTAAAATCAGTCATTTCTTCTAATCTCCAGGTAATAGTTCTTAGAGATGGATGAAAAGCCAGTAGTTCTTTATTTAGTTGGGCAACAGGTGGCACTAGAGACCATATAATCTCCACATTTCTAAACCCCAGCAGTTTTTACCAGAAGCCTTAAGGAGCAGAGTAAACCACACTCTTGCCAACACCCTCAAAACCCCTAGTTTTATTTCCCTTCAGCTACACCCCCTTCCCCTGGGTGAACCCCAATCTTGGGCTAGATAAACTGTCCAGGCTCTGTCTACATATTGATTGTTGTTGAAGAAGGCTGCCAAACATGTAATTTGGGGGCACCTATGAACTCCTAGTTAGGTTTTCTGTATAGTCCTGGACCAACATAATTGGTTTCCTCTTTAATTTTTCTTAAGAGTTATTTCAAACTTCACAAACCCTGAGCTCTTTAGTGAAGCATTCAAAGCATATAAATGTCTTGTGTGGGGCGTTTGTATTGTGACAACAAGTAAAAGGGCCAAGAACCATGTCTGGTTTTGTGAGATGCAAAACACAAAAGCATCTATAGAATGGCAAGAAGGGGTTAACAGAACCAATGTAGCAGATGAGGAAGCGAAGAGCCCAAGGCAGTCATGAAGCATAAGTTCTGATAAGTTCACAGAAGTCCCTGAAAAGGCATTCATTGTACTTTCTCAGACAAATTAGGGAAGTTTAATCTATCAGCTAGACATGGGGGGTAAAGATGACTCTGGTTGACCTCTGGGAAGCATACAGATCTGATGTCATCATTCCTCTGTTTTATATTTCTTACTCCATTCGTATACAGGGAGTGATGTTCAAATATACAAACGCTGGCAGTATACTCATAAGATTTTTGACTCAAGGATGCCTGAGTTTTGCCTTGGCCCTGCCAAGGTTCCTGAAGAAGACACACACACAAAACAAAACAAAACAAAACAAAACAAAAAAAAACCCAAATCACACACACACACACACATACACACACACAAAAGAAAAAGATAAAAAAGATCAATGGCATTGTATAATCTAAGCACTGTGCCTGGTAATACAATGCAGAAAGTTCCAGTAAATTGAGCATATAACTAAGGTGCAGCACAGAGGTAGGGCCTCTTCCCTAGCCCATCAATAACTAGCCAGGTTCCAGAGACTCAAAGAAAGGGAGTATATAGTGTATGAGTGAGGGGAAAAGAAGAGAGATGATCAATGCCTGGGTTAGAAGAAATATGAATGCCAATGATAGCAGGCTTAGAATCTAGACCTGAAAAGCAGCACACAGGGGCAAGAAGCAGAAGAGAAGGTGAATTAGATGGCCAGGACTACAAGAGGTGAGGAGTTTGGGCCCAGTCCCCCCTCCCCACGGGAACATAGTTCCAGACCATAAGCCACAGCCATCTTTGGTACTTTCACACATTCTTACCTTGCCTGTGAGTAAAGAAGGCTCAGGAAATGTACCTGGAAATGATTCAAGAAATGAAAATTCCCTTTTATTGGAGAGAAATGAGGAAGGAGATAGTAGGCGGGTGGAGCTTTCTTTCCTTTTTACTTAAAGAGGGACATTCACAGCCCTTCAATAATTTGGTCTCCAATGTTTACAATATCATCTCTCACCCAGTCCCTATTGTAACCAATAACTTGTCAATAGGCACTAAATGAGCTACATTTATGTGGAAATTTTCCACATTTCCCTTGTTCTTGCCATCTTCTTCCTACAATTGTTACTTATCCATCTGGTAAAGTCCTTTAAAAATCCAGTTCAGCTTCTCTCTGAAGCCTTCCTTTACCTTCTGAGACAGAACTAGTCTTTTTTAGTTTGTCATGATATTATTTCTTTTTCACTCGTCCACTAACTGAACTTTATGTTCATTATTCATCATTATGTTATTCTGGCATAAGTGTCTGACATTAGGATGTTGAGTAAACATTTTTTTAACTTATTGAGTGAATAAGGGCTGGAGGGTGATGGCTATGGGGGTTACAAGCTAATATGTGTCCATTTCACTATCTTATGGGTCCTCTTAATAGGAGCTGATAGGAGCTGCCTCTGAGTAAAGAAACCTGAGAAAAGGAACCAAGCACAGAGCTAGTAGATCTTGTGTGAGTGAAGCAGGAATTATAGCTGAAAGATGCAAGTGTGACATTAAGGTTGGTTTGTTCCTTCCAAGGGCTGTGAGGGAAGGATTTGTTTTCAGGCCTCTCTCCTTGATTTGTAAATGGCATTGTCCCTGTACTTGACATGGCATTCCCTGTATATGATTTCTGTCTCTGTGTAAAATTTTCCCTTTTTATTATTAACTTATTTTATTGAGATGGGGTCTTACTATGTTATTTACTTATTTTTATTGTTTGGGCTGGCCCCTAACTCTGAGACTCAAGCCATTCTTATGTGTCAGCTTCCTGAGTAGCTGGGACTACAAGTATGTACTAATTACCACACTTGACTATTTTCCCTTTTTATAAGGTTATCCACTCGTCATCTTCAATTGGGGCCCACACTAATGACTGCATCTCACCTAATTACATCTGCAAAAACCTTCCCAACCTATATTCAGAGGGTCTATGGGTTAGAACTTAAATTTATGATTTTGGGAGGAGTTTCAATACAACTTTAACTGGACTATTGAAGGTGAATTTGGTGAATACCTTTGTGTAGAATTAGCTTGAACAAATTAGAGGAAAGACTGCAAATGCAATGAAATATTTTACTAAAACGTGTAATTAAAACAATTTCTCATAATTTCCTTCTGTTTTTGTATATTCTATTTAAAACATTTTCAGAATGAGTGAAGTGTGTAACCATTGATTATTAGAGAGCATATAGCTGTAATATAGTCAATATCTGGGAAATATTGTTTCTTTTCTGAGTGATCTTGTATAAGTAATTCACTTATCTGGGCTTTAAAAAAATTTTTAATCTCGGAGTAGGCCTTATCTCAAAAAATCTTTAAAATTTTAAGTTCTGTTAAGTCCTCTCTTTACAGCCCAGTGGAGAGAGAAGCATTTGAAAAATGAGTGAATAATGTTTGCTATATAGCATTAATAAACACAAGATACGGCTAGAGACAGAAGATGTTTAAGAGAACACCACTGGGGCTTGTTTCTACCATCCCTGTTATTTTTATCTTCCTTTTCTTAAATGTACAGGAAACTTCCTAGTCTCTTACCAATCACTGACTTGTCTTGCTTTCTATCATCTGATTTCTCTCATATACAATGTAAGCTGTGGTCCCCAGTGGCTGGAACAGTGCCAGGCACCTGGCAGGTGTCTAGTACATATTTAACGAGAAAACAGATTCAAAAGGTGAACAGTACTGGGAACATCCTTGCCAGTAGATGTGAGGAAACAAGGCCCTTTTGCTCCGAAGGCATCCATTCTTCCTGTTAATGTGTCACATGGGTGTATGTGTTTGGGCTATGCCAACCCATTTAACAATGGGCCCATGCACGCTTGTGGTTGGTTAAGTGTGACTTTAGAATTTATTTATTTATTTATATGGTGTTGAGGATGGAACCCAGTGCCTCACACATGCTAGGCACACTGAGCCACAGCCCCAGCCTCAACTCCTGGAATTTAGAGTCTTACACAATAGTCCGAAAGTTATAGTTCTGTCATCTCAGATTGCCCCTTGGTCCTACAGATGCCCTCAAATTTCGGGTGTTATTAAGCAGTTTGTGGACTGCAGCTCTGGGATTCACCTGATAAGAGCACACAGCCACTGAAGCTTTCTATTCTAATTAACCCTGACAGAGTTTTCTACAGGGAAGGCTCAGAGGTCATTGCAGGACACAAAATGTGCCCATACAAGCCCTAAGCACATGGGTGGCCTCTGGCTGCGCAGACTTACAAAATTAAGGACTTTAACTCCCGACCCATTGCTCGAAGGCGTTTAGATAGCTAGACACAGATAACCGCCTCCAGCGGGCGGAGTGTGGCGCCCGCGGACAAGATGGGCGGTAACCTGGAAGACCGCTTCCGGGACGCGCAAGCTGGCACTGCGCAGCCGCTGCAGGCGGAGAGACAAGACGCAGGCCGCCCGGTGCGGGGCCGAAGACCATGAGCAAGGCGGTTCCGGGCGGTGGCCGCCGGGCGCGAGTGTCCCGCCTAGTCTCCTTCAGCGCGAGCCACCGGCTGCACAGGTGGGGCGCGCCCACAAGTGTGATGGCAGCAGGCGGGCACCCGCCCCGCCGTGAAGCGCCACGAGGGCGGGGCCGGCGTGCGCGCTTGCGTGCGCGGGCTCGAGCCCGAGCGGGCGGGGCTGGGGCGGCGGCCTTAGGGTGGGTTGTGCGCGCGTGCCGGGGCCCTAGTTGGGGACCTGCGCAGGAAAGCAGTGGGTTCAGGACTTGGCCGAACTCCCCTGGAGCGTGAAGCGTGCTGGTTAACGCTGCCCAGTGCGGAGGGGTCGCCCCAGGTTCCGAACCAGAGGCTCCACTCACTGGCTTCTGACCCTGAGTCACCTAGTTTACCCCGTGGTGTGAAGTTAAGCGGAAGTTAACTCTCCTATATTACACAGTACCCAGAGCATCGCAAACACCATAGTCTTTAGCTAATTCTATATGCTAGGAGCTTGAGCTACCGAATCTAATATAATGACAAGGCTAGTTTTGTCTTCTTTCTACTAAAGATGAAATGAGCCCTGATGTTCTGTTCTCTAAGCAGGCGCACAGTTGGGATTTGCACCCCGAGCACTCAGACTGCCTTCCTGCACCAAATAATTAGTTGATTTTGAGGATTCTTGCACTCCTCTCTAGCTAGTTCCACTCCCTGAGCCTGCGTTTCCTTGTCTGTAAAATGAGCGTAACAGGATTCATCCATCCATTGCTGGAAAGGGTTTGTTTTGTGCTGATAAGGCCCTCTACTAGATGACAGGGACCCATACACACTTGTCACTGCTTCCTATCTGGAGCTTACAATGTGGCCAATTTTGTGACGAGTTAAGTACAAGAATCTGTATTTCTGAGAGAATTTTGTGCAAAAGCTTTGTGAATTGTAGCGCTCTTAGAGTGAGAAGTAGGAGAAAATGGGAGAAATAATAACAACCATAAAAAGAAAGGGATTCTATAATAGGAAGCTCAAACGTATGAGGGAGCTAAGAACTCAGAAGCTGAGATTGAGTGGGTATAGATATATAAATTCATTAAATTGTGTTCTGCCTGGAACAACAGCTAAGTGTTGTTAATTTTGAATTTTCATCTAATTTGAATATCCCTTGGAAACTTCAGTGGGCAGTAAAAGTTGAGGCAGAGTAGAGCAAGATTTTTAAAGAGGAAACTGAAGTCATGGGATTATTTTTCAGGCAAATGAGATTTTAAGCTGCTTGAGGACAAACATCTACTTGTGTTTATAATTGTATGTCCTTGCTTCATTCTACTCTTGCCTTTTCCATAGTAGGTTATCAGTAAATCCTTGTTGAATTGAAAAATGAAAGGACCATTATCAAGGTAGTTGGAATCTTCCTGTGCAGCAGAGGGATTGAATTTAAGGTTTGTTTATGCTATTTTTTTTTTTTTTTTGCAGTACAGTAGTCTAATTAGGGAGTGTACATTTGTTCCCCATGTACAGGTGAGTAATGAAATCAAAGTGATTTTTCTATTTGGTGAGTTATAGTAACAATAAATTTTGAAACTCTTCAAAGACCAGAGCAGATAATGTAAGGAACAGAGAGGGAGTCTGAATTTGATACTGTGTCATGCTGATTTTCTTTTTCTTTTGCTCAGCAAATCTTTGAGTGATGAAGAAAACTTAAAACTGTTTGGGAAATGCAATAATCCGAATGGCCATGGGCACAATTATAAAGGTGAGAGAACAATTATAAAGGTGAGAGAAAAAACAGTATATGGAGAGGATGAAATGTTATCCCTTCAATAAGGGTGAAAGAGTGTTCAGCAAATGCAAGTGTGACTAGTAAGGGGCCTTAAGGATAGAATGAATGCGTTGAGCCTTGAATCAGAAGTTAAATGGAACTTCAAAAAATGAAAAGCTCTGTTGCCTTAGTTGGATGTGTCTTGACATTTCACCTCACAGATGAATAGATATGTTTAACCTAACTTAAACATTAACAACAGCTAAGTGTTGTTAATTTTGAATTTTCATCTAATTTGAATATCCCTTGGGAACTTCAGTGGGCAGTAAAAGTTGAGGCATTATTACTGTGTATACATGTAATGAAACATCACATGGCATGCCATTATTATGTACAATTTTATTTAATTTTTTATGTGTGATATTTATGTGTAAGTTAAAAATCAGTTTAAATTAAAAAAACAATAAAATAAAAAATTTGATTATATTTTTTATAACATCCTTCACATTTTTAAAAAGATTTATTTTTTTAACCTTTATTTACTTTTATGTGGTGCTAAGGATCGAGCCCAGTGCCTCACACATGTTAGGCAAGTGCTCTACCACTGAGCCACAATCCCAGCTCCAGATTGTATTCTTTGAGTAAACAATGAGTAATAAAAGGGGAATATTGCCTGAGAATACTGTATGGCAGAAAAATAGTTTGTGTCTAAAACTTTGCCAGCCGTGTTCCAAGAAAGTAAGTAACTTGTATAAGGATAAGAGACTTGTTTGTTTGAGACACAGCTGAAGACTCAAAAAAACAGCTATATAAGCTATAGAGGATAGCAGCGTTTGGGATGGTGGCATTAAAAAAGACCAGACAAGGGGTCAGAAAAATGAAGATTTCTAATTTAGTTACTGTCTCTTAGTTTATCTATGATACCTCTCACTCTTGGTGTACTCACTTATCATACAATACCTAATGGTTTTTGTGTGGAGCTGAAAAAGTGCAAGTTCATAGAAGCTATTAATTTGTAAAGCATTTATTGAATTTTTTCAAATGCTTTGCAAATGCTTGTTATTTAACAAAGTATTACTGTAAACTGTGTATTCATTCTTGTTAAAGGGATGAGGTTAAGGCCCAGTAGTAATTTTGCTTGCTCAGAGGTGCTGTCCAGAAATGGGCCAGTTTGGTGTATAGATGGACACCTGCATGTACATTTTTGCTTTTACAGGTAGAGATCCAGATACACCTTGATAAATATATAAGCAGAATATATAAACATGTAAACATGTATAAACAGATAAAAATTTATACCCCTTTGGGCATTGGCTAATTTCCTCTACTTAGTCAAAGCTAGTACTAAGCTCTTCTGTCTTGGTTGAGTCTTGTTTTGGTTGATAAAATGGTCTTAACTGAAAGGATATATATTTTTTTCAGTACTGGTGATTGAACACAGGGTTTGCACTTGCTGGGAAAGCACTCTACCTCTGAAAGCTATATCCCCAGTCCTTATTTTTTAAAAAATCTTTTTTTTTTTTTTTTTTTAATTCTGAGGCAGCGTCTCACTAAGTTGGCCAGCCTGGCCTTGAATCCGTGATCTTCCTGCCTTAGCCTCCTGCATAGATAGCTAAAAGGACAAATGTTTTTGGGTAAAATATAAGTATAGCTTTGGGAGCCAGAGATCTAATAATTTATGTTGCTAATATGTGCTTTCATATTAATCTTTTGAAAATCATGTGTTTTTTTTTTTTTTTTTTAAATTTTGTTTTCTTTCCCATAGTTGAGGTGACAGTATATGGAGAGGTATGTGCTGAACATATTTGTGTGGTTTTGTTTATATTGCTGAGTTTTCTTTCAGTCTCCTTGGTGGATTCTATGTTGAAAACTTGTGTTTCAGTTTCATCAGTGTTGGCTTTTGTGTGTGGTGAACTGCTGCCATTCTAGGTCTTTTCTTTTCCTAAGTGTCGTCTTTGTGTGCTGTCTGTGGACAGGTGGAAGAGCTGTGCAGTGAAAAGAATGCCTGATGCATGTGTGCTTTTGTGTTGAGATCAGTGTCGTCTCTGGGATGCAGGCAAATATGGGCACAGTTTGCATGTTGCACAGCCTCTAAGATAGTTTACCAGCAGTTTTGATGTGAAGAGCCTCTCAGAATAATATTTACCCTTGTTTCTTCTTTAGATTGATCCTGTTACAGGAATGGTTATGAATTTGACTGACCTCAAAAAATATATGGAGGTAAATGCCATATTGGGTGCTAATTCTGTGCTATGTCCTCAGCATAATTTTTGGTGACTTCCTTTCCACCTCCCCAGTCAGTTATCACTTGGGGTTCCATGACTTTGTGAGTGGAGTTGGGTGTGGGCCTGGGAGGATAGTTGGAGAAATTGCTCTCATGGCCTTCTAAAAGTCTCCTTAATGGAAAGTAGTCAAAGCTGTGTTGTAATGATGGGGTGATGTGCAAGTAGCATGCTTACCTTGTATTCCTTGTTGGAATATACTGATTTCCTCCACTTCACAAATTCTATCCTTATTTCAGGACACAGTTTTCTCCTTGAAGTTTTCTGTTTCCTTTATGAATATTCCTTATACCTTTGACCTTATATTTTAACATCACCCTTTATTATTCACTTTGTCTTTACTATAAACTTAGGGACAGTTCTTTACAGAGATAACACAGAAGCAGATATTTAATAAAGAACTTACTGATTGTGTTATCATATAATTCTTGCATTGTAAGAGATCTTAGAGATCATCCAAACCATTTTTTCCATTCCATAGATTAAGATTGAGAGATGCCAGGCAGTTAACTGACTTGCCCCAGGTCATGTTGTAAAGTTGAGAGTAGGCTTTTTTCCATCTAGCTGATTTTATTAGGATATCATTTATTTGGTTCTTCACATCAACTCTGCAGCTTACTTTTATTCTAAAATTTGACATTTGTTTCATAAAAATGATGTTAATAAACATTATTTCTTCCCATTACGTATCCATATATTCAAACTCTTGCCTACTTTGCAACAGTTCTTGAGCTCAGGGCTAGGAATACAAAGATGAACGAGACATAACCCACAGGGTACTTGTGTTACCTTTTCAGGAGTTAAAGAAAAGTAAATGCTCAAAAGTTGTTGGTTGAAATAAGAGAATGAGTGAACAAACAAATAGCACTGTGCTGAAAGAACTATGGGAAAGTTATGAAGACAGAATTCTTGTGTCTTCTAAGGACATACAATATATATACACCAAGTATTATACCATGTAAAACAATAATTAGAGCTCTAAAGCCCACATATAGTTGAATACTACATAGGGGCTTGCTGTGCTCTTTTCCTCCTTTGTATACCTAACGTACACTGTACACGCCTATTTGTGTGCTTATGGCACAAGCAGTCTGCAGAAGAGGCTTCTGTGGAGAAGCTGAAACTGAACTGAGATTGAAGATAAAGCAAAGGTATTTGTTTTACCTACCGTCCTTCCTTCCTTTTTATTTTTTTCAAAGACATAGAAATTTATTTAGGAAAACAGAGGCACATTCAGGAAGAATGTGGACTATCTTAAGAGTGAGAGAGAAGCTTTGGGGGTAAAGCAAGGAATATACATTCATGGGAGACTGTGGGCTATTTCCAGAGGGAGAAATAGCTGATATCTTTTTTTTTTTGGTATTCATTCAAAATATCTTTTCATTTGATCCATTTTATTTCATCTATTTATTTTTGTGCAGGGGATTGAACCCAGCACGCTGTACTGTGTAGCTACAACCCCAGTCCTTTTTGTTTTTTATTTTGGAGATGCTAAGTTATTGAATTAAGTTGTTCAGGCTGGCCTTGCACTTGCAAGCTTCCAAGTGTCTGGTACTACTGGCATGCACTACCATGCCTGATTGTTTGATCATTTTTAAAAGCTAGTGGATCCATATGTACCTTTAAAAAATATTGTTCTAGTTTTACTCATGAAATGATTGTTATTATTATTAATGCACCCTTAAAACATATAATATAGAAAATTAGATTGTTTCACAAATGCTTGAATTTTTGTACAAGAACTTAAAGGAAAACCCTATTTAAAAAAAGCAATTACAATCATTGCTAATGATGAGGAAAAACATTGTGTTAATATATGTAAGCATTAGGAAGTAATTGTGTGTTTACAAGAGAGAGAGAGAGAGAATGAGAAGGAGTGGGGAGAGAGACGGAGGGGTTATGGGGAGACAGAAAGTGATAGAGCCCTTTGTTTACCAGAGAAAAAATATAAACTATAAAGGCGTTACCCCCAGTGACCCATCTCCTCTAACCACACCTTCCTGCTTATAGTTACCACCCAGTTAATTCATATCAGTGGATTAATCCACTGGTTAATCATATTAATTAATTAATATGATTAGGTCACATCTCTCATCATCTAATCATTTCACTTCTGAACATTCTTGCATTGTCTTACACAGGAGCTTTTGGAGGGATACCTCATATCTAAATGGTAACATAGTCTTTACACATTTGTAATTTTTCTCCTGAGAGCTCAAGATCATTCTTAAATTATTATAGCAGAAATTTAGCTACTTACATAATTCCAGTCCAGGTCTGTTTTATAAAATATACTGCTATTGGATGTTTGTCCTAATGATATTGTGGCATTGTTTCATAGGTGGCACTGTTGTGGAAAAGCATTTCTGGTAACTTTTTTGACAGAATTCAAGAAGTGTTAAATTGAATTTTGAATCACAGTGGCTTGTATTTCGAGAAAACCCTGGCAATTCTAATTTTTAGTTTCTCACCTCTTTGCATTCAGTAACAAGGATAACTAATCATTGCAGGGAACTGGACCTGACTTTATTTTTTACAGCTTTAAACCTTGGAAAGATTGCTTTATAAGACATGGATATATCACTTACCAGTACTGAGCTAGTGGCTAAATGATAGGGTAAGATTTAGAGACTTAGGTAGAACCGTATGGAATTTGAGTCATGAATAAAATCAGTGGTTTTCCCCTTTGTTTTGTGTGTAGGAGGCTATCATGAAGCCCCTTGATCACAAGAATCTGGATCTAGATGTACCATATTTTGCAGATGTTGTAAGGTGGGTGTCACCATCTTGCTTTATAGAGATAGTAAGAAAGAAGAATTGATTTTAACATTTTATCTGATTTTTGTGTGATTTCTAAAGTTCTAGTTTAATGATATCTTTGAGCACTAGAATTTGTTTTCTGTGACTATTAGATATGAAATTTTGGTTATTTTTTGTGTTTTGAATTTCTTTTTTTTTTTCTCTACAGCACGACAGAAAATGTAGCTGTATATATCTGGGAAAACCTCCAAAAATTTCTTCCTGTGGGAGTTCTTTATAAAGTAAAAGTGCATGAAACTGACAATAATATTGTAGTCTATAAAGGAGAATAGTTCTTAGGGATTAACACTGTAGAAAGACTAATTTCCTTCCACATTTAAAAAAGATCTTTATCCTCTTGGAATATTAAGTAGTCACCACATAATTGTTGTATTACATTGTGTTCTGAAGTGCCTGATTTATTGAAATCATTATAAGACCTGTTGTGAATTTAAATCTAATAAAATAAAGCTTGTAATGTATCCTGAATATCATTTAGAGAGTCCTTTATCTATAGATTAAAAATCACTTTATTTTCAGCAAAATGTTTTGGTGTGTTAATATTTGAAAGAAAAATCTATTTTTCTTGTATTCTCTTATCTCATTTTTAGAATTCATTTTTCTTAATATAAACGGTAGAAATGCTTATGCAATTTAAAGTAGATGAATTTTATAAAAAAATAAAATTAAGCACTGGTGTGGTAGTACATGCCTACAGTCCCAGCTACTGGGAGGCTGAGGCTGGAAGATTACAAGTTCAATGCTAGCCTAGGCAATTTAGTGATACTCTGTCTCAGAATAAAATAAAAAGGGTTGGGGATGTAGCTCAGTGGTAGAGCACTTGTTTAGCATGTGCTAGGCCCTGGGTTCAATCCCCAGTGTAGCAAAAAAGAAATAAAAAATAAAAAAATAAAAATTCAGATGACTACAAAATCTGGAGACAATATATATAGTTTGAACTCCCTTGGTTACTATTTTTTGGTATGCGAAAGGCACAAATTTATTGAGTGAAAGTTAAACACACAAATTATCTAAGGTGGTACAATGCCAATGCATATACAAAGATGGACGGAAATGCTGCTTTCATGGACATTAGTCATTGCAGCTTTACATGGGTATTGAACTATGAATTGCTAGTGAGGAACAACAATTGAACATACTATACAGTATAAGTATATTATTATATGTATTTGTCTAGAACACCATACTTTATAGCCACCTGAATAATTTAAACTTGGAAGACTGCAGAATAATGATGTATTTTAAACCATGTTAAAATAGCCAACATAAAAAGGATCTGGTACTCTGTGAAGTATTTCCTGTATGCAGTTTTTCCTGACTGATCCCATTTTATTCTGATCATTAAACCCACCTGTATAAGTTGAACTATATTCTTGGCATTCATCTCTGGTGTCTTTTCTTCATGACTAAGTCCACAAGAATGTATTTGCTTGCTGTGCACAAAGAGCTATTCTCTTGTGTTCATTTATATTCTAAACTTATTAAACGGAGGATTTTATATTTCTCTCCACATAGTATCTATTTTTTTCTGGATTCTCAGAATGTTGCTACCTGGAAGAAATAAAAAACTTATGCAGTGATCATGATTCTAGAAAATTTTGCAAAGGAAGACTTATTCTGGAGAGGAAGTAACTATAGGAATTTTATTACAAATTTTCATAATCACTGCCCACTTAAATTTGAATGTGTTGTAGTTATCAAACTCAGTTTTTATCTATGTAGACTGTTTTGTAATTATTGAAAGGCAGTATAGCTACTATTTATGAAGTTACTTTATGTTTTAACTCTCACAAACACCATGTAAGGTAGTTACTATTCCCATTTTACAGATAAGAAAATTGAGAGGGTTTAAGCTACTTGCTTAAGATTACTCAGCAAATAAATTAAAAATTGAGATTTTTTCTGACTTCAAAACATAGACTCAAAAAAGGACAATGTATTTATATTTCCAGATTTTTAAAAAGATGCCAAATTTTCAAATCTGATATGTTAGAGAAATGTTTTTTCTTGATAATAATGACACTCAAGGTGTTGGTTGCTCATGAGTTGCATCAAGGGAAACATTTCCCCCCTACCTTCTCTCCTTAGGAAAAGAATTTTATTTGTTTATCTATCTAGTCATTCATCCATTCATCCACCAAATTCATGAGTGAATAGATGAGTAAATGGATGGGAGGACCAAAAATGGGTATAGGTGATTTTTTTTCTTCCTTTCAGAGACCATATCAAACTTACAATTATTACTTTTCATGTTTTTCTTCCCTTTTTATTGTAAATTCCTGGTGGGCAAAGTCCTTATTTTAAGCAAAGTGGCTAGTAAATAGTACTCAATTTTTGTTCATTTAATAAATGAATGGTGTATTGGTAAAAATTGTTGAAATTTTATAGTGTTACATACATAATGAGAACTTGGCACATATTTTTAGACTTGAATAACCTGAAAGTTTTGAGGCTCAATTATGGCCCTAGAGGAGTTAATATTTAGTTGACTGATGCTTATCTCTGGTGTTCAGTTTCTTTACCTGTAAAGTTAAGTCCTTGGATTAGGTACTTTCTGAATTATTTCTGCCTATTTTATACTTAGATGATTTTAAATACCAAATGAGTAAATATTATTATTATAGAGAAGGGAGAAGATCATTCCGGGGTAATGAGGTTTGGAAGCTTTGTAAAGGAGGTAAGTCCTTAATGGTACTGGCAGTGATTGGGAAGGAGAGTGGCAGTCTGGAATTCAGGAGAAAAGAGAGACTACGAGACTCATTGGCTACGATACTGCCACTGCACAAAACTTTGGGACTGAATGCCAAAGGGTAAAAGTTACTTGGCAAGGCTACTAGGGTGGGAATATGCAGGCATATTGGGGATATAGTGAATAGGTTAATCTTAGTAGAATAATGGTGAAGTAGGACAGTGTTGTGGGACATGAGCTTGGAAATACAGAATGGGGATAGTCCGGACGTCCTTGAATGTCAATTTGATTTGTCTTTTAAGTAAGGAAGCTGTTGAAATTTTGTTTTTTAAAGAAGGTAACCAACTGGACAAAGGAAAGAAAGGAAACCAGGTGCAAAGCTACTACAGGAATCTATTCATGGAGTGATGGGTGCCTGGACCATGGTGGTGGCAGTAGAAATAAAGAGAGGGGGGCAGGAGGATCAAGTTAACATTGTGCAGTGCCTAATGTGGCATCAGGCATTTTGCTGAGTACTTTTTATAGTACCTCATTTTATCCCTACAATCATCCTACTTGGTGAGGTTATTAGTTACCTATTGCTGAGTAACAAGTTACCCAAAACATAGCTTAAACATGATTTACAGCAGCATATATTTATTATCTCAGTTTCTGTGGGCCATGAGCCAGGGGTGGCTTAGTTGTGACCTTTGGTCCAAGGTCTCTGAAAAGGCTGCAGTCATCTCAAGGATCTACCTGGAAGGATCTTCCCAACTAACTCACATGGTTGTTGGCAGGATCCAGTTCCACGTGGGGGATTGGACTGAAGCTTCAGTTCCTGTTTTTTGCCATGTAGGTATTTTATAAAGCTTCTCCTGCATGACAGCTTGCTCCATCCAAGTGGGCAGATAAAGGGCAAGGGAAGTGCCTGCAAAACTGATGTCACAGTTGTTTATAGCCTAACCAGTTTTTCTATATTTTACTTCTTAGAAGCAGGTCACTAGGTCTAGGTCACACTCTAGGGGGGGAGATTACATTTACATCGATAGTGTGAAAAATGTGATGGAGATAGCAGGAGACAGGCTAGGAAGGTAGACAGAAAGTGTGTATCATGCTGTTTTTGATGCCAGAGGAATAAAGCCCATTTCATTTTGCAGGAGTGAAATATCAGAGCAGCAGTGGTGGTTTATAGAGGGAATTGTGGGTTTTGTGGGTAGGGATATAAAAAAATCTTGGAAGCACAATTCTTGAAAGTAAAACCAATTCTAAGGTGAAGTTAAGAAGAATATAGTCACTGAATCTCATGAGCATAATGACCAGAGCTCAGCTTTCATTGGTATTGCCTTAATTGATGTAACCACTGGTGGGTTATGAAAATGGCCAGAGTACTACAATCAGTTCAGTACATGTAGTCACTGGTACACTAGACCTGTGATAAGTTATCCATTTGGCTTTGCAAATACCAAATTTTCAAATTCCTCCTGGACTTGAAATTATCCTAAAGATCAGAAACAGACCATTCTCATTTTGCTTTTGTTATGTCTGAGATATTTCTAGCTTTCCTCACATACAGAAAAATCGTTGTTAGTTTCACACAATTTAACTTTACAGCAAGATTCTGCTGTAAGACACTTGGAAAATGTCCCAGATAAACTGGTAAGGTCTCTACAGTGCCTCAGAGAGAACTGTTATTGCTACAAAAGAAAGGTAGAGGCAAGTGGTTCTCCAAATGCAGAATTGTCACGATAGTAGTTCTGCTTTCCATTGGTTCATCAGTTGGTTTGTTTTCTTCAAAATAGCCACAAACTCACTCTCACCTGTGCTTAACAGCCGTTGAGACAGAAGAATTAATGATTTTTCTTACCTCTAACATCTCATCTATCAGAAAGCTCTGCTGGTTCTACCTCCGAAACGTTTCATGTTGATTGTCTTCATTTCTGATGCTATCACCCTAGTCTAAGCTGCCGTGTTTTGGCCTGGAGTTCTGACATGGTCTTTTAACTTGTCTTCTACTTGTACTTTGGTTCTCTTCCACACTCCTATGGGTCTTTCTGAAAGAGCAATTGAGATCTCCTCAGGCCCCATATAATCTCCTGAAAGATCCCTCTTGATTTTAGAATACAATCCAAGCACCTCACACTAGTTTATCAAGCTCTGTGTGATCTAGCCACTGCCTACTTGCAGCCTCAAGCCATTCACTATTTTGTTCACATTGGCCTTCCAAGTCTGAGGGCATATCAATTTCATTCCTTCCTCGACCTTTGCATTGGCTGCCCTTTTGCCTGGAAAGCTACCCTCCCTCACCTCCCTACCCTCTTCATTCCCCTGCATAAGACTTAAGCATTCTTCAGACTTCAGTTTAATGTCACTTAAAAAAACCCCAACTTTTATTTATTTCTTATTATGTGGTGCTGAGGTTTGAACCCAGTGCCTCACATGTGGTAGGCAAGCAATCTACCATTGAGTTACAACTCCAGCCCTCCCTTCACCTTCTTGAAGACACCTTCCTTGATCACCCTGAATAGGTAGAAGCCCTCTGTTATTTGCTGATATACTTTGCACTCACCTTTCTGTCAGTTAAAATTTTTTCTATATTGGTTTCTTTTGTTTTATTTATTTATATACTAGTTTAGTATCCATCCCAACCATGAAGATATCAATGTCATGAGAACCAAAGCCGTGCCTGTATAGTTCACTTTTGTTTTCCCAGGACCCAGCTTAGTGCCTCCTACAGTGCAGGTGCTGAATATAATCATCCCTCCTATCCATGGGAAATTGGTTCTAGGACCACCCACAGATA